TTGTATGAGTGTGTAAGTATAGTAATATGTGTTAGTGTGTGTGTTTCTGATTGTGTGCTTAGTAGTGTATGTATACCATGTCTGAGTGTGTGAGTATAGTAATATGTGTTAGTGTGTGTAGAGTGTATACTTGGAGTTATGTTATTAAGCCTGGCCAATATTGGACTGGTAACACCTTTCTTTTCCAGTCTCACTTTTGTAATATTTTAGGTTAGGTTCTGATCTGCACTCTGTAAGATAGGTTACATGTTGTTCCCAGCTAGAATGTATTTAATTTTAACATAATTTTCATAGTGACCATATCACAAATCTGTCCTAATTTGTATTTGTAAATCCTTCATATTTATAGTAAAATTGGAAACGTAATATTAATCAATAAATGTGAAAGCTTACAGGAATGGCACGTGCTTGCTGTTTTTAAATGTGATAGGAAATGTTATAGTTAAGCCTGATACACATATATCAACCAGGGAAGCAGATTATACCCTAGTGTCCCTTTTAAGAAATTGCCTGATATCAATAAAAGGGAACTGTCACATCTATGAATTTATACCATTGAATTAAATACAGAAAATCCCCTGTACCTTGTGTTTTCATGACTTTCTTCATTTACTTTTACATTTATATTAAATAATACAGTTCAGACAAGGCAAAGTCAGGGCTTTGAACGGAATAGAAACAGAAATATTGTTTCTTCACCTTCTCTGTATGTTTTCTGTACTCTGACGGTGAGGTGCAACAGACAGAACTTATAATAATGATTGTCAGGAAGCTAAGGACCCCATTTATAGAATAAAGGGGTATCGATTTCTACATATAATCTATTTTTTCATACAGATAAATGCATATTTGTTAACCCCTGTCACGATACCTGTCCCTTGCAGCGCAGTGCAATCACATAAGTGTTGTCTCTTCTTAGTTCCTATGAACACGACGTTCCCCCACTCCTTCCAACCATTCCATTGGTCTCCTTTTATATTGTCAGTCTGTGTGGCGCTTTTTGATGATGTGTACACACATGTGACATCACAGCCCTCCTTAACCAATCACAACCCTGTATAGGGTATATACTTCCTGGTTGTCCTTGTTTCCTTGAGAGTGTGTTTATATTGTATATTGGATTCATTGTTTTCTGAACTCAACTTTTTTGACCATTCTAATTGTTCTATCCTGACCTTGGCCTGACTATCGATTTTGTATATCTCTGTTACCCTAGACCTCGGTCTGGCTCTCGTTTATGTTCTGTCAGCTTGCAGATATTTTATTTATCTATCTCGGGCACTAGCTCGGCCACTCTAAGGACCAGTATGTTTTCTTTCCTCTACTGTTTCCTTCAGATTTGTGTGTTAGGGTATCTCCATTTCTGACAACCTCTTAACAACGCATGACAGGATTATTACGTCATGAATGTACTTCCCTTGAGGACCCATGAGGGAATAATTCTGTCATGCAGTATTTTACCAGCAGGGACTAGTTAATCTATGAGCACTTGATGTGAGCGCTGCACTGAGCTCTTTAACTAATGATTTCAATCCCCCAATGCTACAACTTGGTGTGAGCGGGATTACATTTTAGCTGGGGCCATATTTAGTGGCCCCAGACTAGCAGATGAGCTACATGCAGTGCTCAAAGTGTGTACGCCATTCAGCTCTTAAAATACTGCAATGCAGTGTGCTCAGAGTTAAATCCCTGCTCACACCAGGGAGACCCAGGTATGAACAAATACTTAGAGCTCCCCTCTGTCAGTTGTGGACCACAATTAGTGACCCATGATCTGTACAGCTCTCAAAGGTAGTACGGCATAAATTACTGTAATTCAATGAAAATCACAGCAGCTGAGCCATCGCGCTAAGCCCTGGTGAAGCTTGGCTTACAGCTTGTCTGTGGGAAACCCCCTGTCAGTGTTCCTGTGTTATGTTACCAAGCTTGGACTCAGCCTGGGGACCTCTTCCATATGGATGGGGACCATCCTCAAGGTCCACTCTCTCTCATCAGCCGTTCTGACGCTGGTTACTGTAGCTCCTCCCCTTTTTATAAAGCGGAGCTGGCGCCAATGTCATGACGTCAATAACATCATGACCCACCAAAACATTCAAATTGAAGCATTTGACACCGTTGATCATGCTCTCCTTCTTCAAACTCTGCAATCGCTTGGTCTCTGTGACTCTGTCCTCTCATGGTTTTCCTCTTATCTCTCCCAACGCTCATTCAGTGTCTCTTTTTCTAATGATACCTCCTCCCCTCGCCCTGTCTCGGTTGGAGTCCCCCAAGGCTCCGTCCTTGGTCCCCTTCTATTTTCTCTTTATACTGCCTCTCTTGGCAAACTTATTACCTCATTTGGATTCCACTACCACCTGTACGCTGATGACACCCAGCTATATCTCTCCTCCCCAGACCTCTCCCCTGCTGTCCTGCAACGTGTCACTGCTTGCCTTTCTTCCATCTCTGAATGGATGCCCTCCCGCTTTCTGAAACTCAATCTCTCAAAAACTGAGCTCCTTGTCTTTCCTCCTCCTAATACTGATCCTCCTCTTTCGCTCTCCCTTCAAGTTTGTGGTAGCAACATCAGCCCATCCTTGCAAGCGCGCTGTCTTGGCGTCATACTTGACTCTGGTCTCACCTTTGAGCCTCACATCCAGCATGTTGCCAAATCCTGTAGATTCCATCTTAAAAAAATAGCCCGCATCCGCCCCTTTCTTGCAGCAGATACTACCAAGGAGCTTGTCCATGCTCTAGTAATTTCCTGCATGGATTATTGTAACCCTCTCCTGCTTGGTCTTCCCAAAAGCCGTACTGCACCCCTACAGTCTGTAATGAACGCTGCTGCTAGACTGATTTTCCTCTCTAGCCGGTTCTCTCACACCTCACCCCTCTGCCAGTCCTTACATTGGCTTCCTGTGTGCTATAGGAGTCAATTCAAGGCACTAACTCACACCTATAAAGCACTGAACAACTCTAGCCCCTCTTATATCTCTCCGCTCCGCCTGTGACCACCTCCTGTCCGTTGTCCGCACCCGTACGGCCAACTCGCGCTTGCAGGACTTCTCGCGGGCGGCTCCCTTCCTATGGAATAGCCTGCCTACCGCCATCAGACTCTCCCCTAGTCTTGCATCTTTTAAGAAGTGCCTTAAAACCCATCTCTTAAGGAAATCTTATGGCCTCCAAGACTAACCCCTACCTCACATACCTGTCTCTTGCCCTCTCCTAAAGGGCAGCCCACCTTAATTGATTGCAAATTCCTGTCCTACTGTGTTTTACACCCCACCTCCTATAGAATGTAAGCTCGATTGCGCAGGATCCTCTTCAAGCTATTGTTCCTGTAAGTTTATTTGTAATTGTCCTATTTATAGTTAAATCCCCTCTCATAATATTGTAAAGCGCTACGGAATCTGTTGGCGCTATATAAATGGCAATAATAAATAAATAAATAATTATAAATCCACAATATAAAAAGGGCTCATAGGGCTTGGATTATTGCCCTGTTGTGGTTCAAAGTTTCTTTGTTTCCTATAGCGCGTCATTTGTTAGCTTTCCTAGCTATTGACTCTGGTTGTGTTCTAACTATTCTCCTTTCTTGCATTTTCTGACTTCTGGCTTCCTTGACCTCGGCTTGTCCCTGACTATTATCTGTCCTTGCTAACATTAGCCCGGCACCTCTAAGGTCCCAGTGTTAATTTTGGCGGCAAATTTCTATTTAGTTTTAGTCGTATTTTAGTAATCTGAATTGTTTTAGTTTAAGTATAGTTTTAGTCAACTAAATCTACAGTAGCTTTTAGTCGACAAGACTCAAAATGGGTTTAGTTAAAGCCTCTATCTGTCTCTTTTACCTCTTACCCAGCCCATCTGAGTCTTTTTGTGTCTTCTCAGCCCCCATAGGTGCCTCTCTCCCAAGCCCTGGTCTGTCTCTTTTGCCCCTTCCACAGCTCCTCTGTCCAGTGTTAAAGGACCACTATAGGCACTCAGACCACTTCAGCTGGTCCAGCTAGGGTTAACCCTTTTTTTTATAAACATAGCAGTTTCAGAGAAACTGCTATGTTTACACTGAGGGTTAATCCAGCCTCTAGACCCTCTAGTGGCTGTCTCATTGACAGCTGCTAGAGGCGCTTGCGTGCTTCTCACTGTGAAAATCACAGTGAGAAGACGCCAGCGTCCATAGGAAAGCATTGTAAATGCCTTCCTATGAATTGGCTGAATGCGCGCGCGGCTCTTGCCGCGCATGCGCGTTCAGACGATGACATCGCTAGGAAGGAGGAGAAGAAGAGGAAAGCTCCCTGCCAGCACTGGAGAAAGGTAAGATTTTAACCCCTTCCTCTCTCCAGAGCCCGGCCCACCCTCAGGGCACTGTAGTGCCAGGAAAACGAGTATGTTTTCCTGGCACTATAGTGGTCCTTTAATTTTGGCAGCAAATTTTAATTCAGTCTTAGTCATAATCTTTTGACTAAAAAGCCATTTTAGTTTTAGTCATATTCTAGTCATCTGAATTGTTTTAGTTTTAGTCTTGTTTTAGTTGACTAAATATCAAACATTTTAGTCGACTTAAATTTGACTAAAATTGTTAGTCGACAAAATTAACACATTGCATATATACTGCATATTGGATTTCTGTGACACTCCTGACACCCCCAGTGTCTAAATAGACCCTGAGGGGTCTCCCTGCTTGCCCCCATGCTATTTTGATAGTTGACAGCACTGATCATAATGTAATGTTAATGCAGGCTTCTCAGCATGATAGATATCTTCCCGTCATGCTGAAAACAGCCTGTAGATGGCAAAAATTGATTAGATTTATATTTAGGATTAGGTCTAGAATTAGGTTTAGGATTAGAATTAGGTTGTCCTTACTATGTTATATATATGGATCAATCATAATAATAAACATTCAGGGAAATGACAGTTCCTCTTGAAAGGCTTTGTGGATGGTGGAAATGATGTGTTAATACAGAGAATTTAGTTTTGAAAAACAGCACAGCAGAAAACATCTTGCTGTTAAACAGAAGGAATGCATATTTATTTGCTCATTGCAATCAATACATCACACAGCTAGATCCAATATAATTGACTTTAATAATAACAAATCCACTTAGAAACTAGTGGTGCTAGGATATGTACAATTCAACAATATTTTACAGTGTGACTCTGCAGTTTAAATATGTGCAGAGGGTTTTTTGCATCTTCTATTTCACTAAATAAAATCTGAAACAAGAGTTTACCTTCTACCTACTCTTTACACAGGAATACCCCAAAACAGCACAATATTGTATATATAAATTCAGAAATCCATAATATGTCTGATGAGGAATTTCCATATCTTTCATGGCCATTATCAATATTAACCATAGGTCAAGGCGGGGGGTAGAATTCCCTGGATCATGCTTCCAACAAATATAATGAGTTTAGAAAGTATGTAATGTGTCATGTCACTGTTAGGACTCCTACTTGGTACACTGGTACCCAGAGGCACAACAGATATAAAGCACCATTTTATAAGGCTCCTTTTCTGACTTCATATTCAAAAATTGTCAAATTGAAAAAATAATTTTGTTTGACTTTCACTTTGAAGTCATTGTGAATTTCCAGCAATCCTTATTTTACTGAATAATCCTGAAGGGCTCAGAAGTAGGACCCCATTTGGGTTTTATCCATATTTCTATTCCAGTGGTACTTAGACCGTCTGACAGGAAAGTAGACACACAGGAAACTTCCATAAGTACAGGATTATGACTGCTATGCCCTGTCCAGTAATCTGATTGAATCATTATGGTAGCAAAATATCCAAGGCGGCCCATGCAATTTTATTGGTATGACTGACACCCTAATCAATACATCTCCAAGAAAAAGTCCAATGCTTTGGATAATGAACCACACAACCTGTGGAATATGATAAACTGTTAATATTTAGCCAAATTGCTCATGCCTTGGCTTCAGACATACACTGAGACCCCCCAATTCGCCCACTATTGCACATGCCTGTATTGACCTTTCGTGGCTTCATGGAAAAGCTAGCAGTTTTAACCTCTGTTTATCTCATGGTTAAATATATAACAAACGAACTGGCTTGGACCTGAAAGTACTGAAAACATAACTAAAATATCTACAAAACATAGTAGTCAACTAAAAAAGGACCCGTTTTCAAAATCTGTCTTTAAGGGCTCTTTAAGGGGTGTGCATGGCATGCTTCTGTTTAAACGATTCAAAGAAAGCCATTACTCCTCTTCTTTTACTTGTTCCCATATTCTTCTGAAGACTGTGACCACTGGAGCTGAATGTGGAAATTGGAGAGTCCACACTAGCAGTCCTCTTCATTTTCAAGAGTGATTTCCCGTGGGATGCTTTTGGTTTAATTCTTGAGGACGAGGCCACCACACATTTCTGATACTGAACCTATAAGGAACGAGACAAGTTATCTAGACCTTGTTTTATAAATAAATTGTTGACCAATTCAGTGTTCAGTATTCAGTATTAAATGTTGTATTATTTTTTTTTGTTTGAAAGGGTGTAGTGAGTGTAAAATATTTATATATTATCAACTTAAAAATGGAGCAGTTGGGGAGGAGATGCCAGATTTGAAAAAACATTTCTCCTGGATTCTGGTGCAAACACTCATTATTTAATATATTTCAAAAAATAGCATTTTTTTTGCCTTCAATAAATATTTATTAAAATGTGTTTTATTTTGTTATTTTTTTCACTGTGGTTACATTTAATTTTATATTTCCACAAGCTGAAACCTCAGGTTTAAAAAAACTGCAATGATGTACAGTGTGCCAGTAAAATGTTTGAAACTGGTATTTGGCTTCATAGACATGCACACCACACTATTGCCTTGATTTAATAAACTTTCCAAATGATTAAATACTGTTAGAAAAACATTCCACATTATTTATCTAGAAGAAAATACTTTTGATGCTCCTTCTGTAGATAAATCATTTGGGAAGTTTTTCCAACAGTGCTGAATCATTTGGGAAGCTTATAAATCAAGACCAACATTAGGGTGCACACACACAGTAAATTACTTTCTAAGTGTTACTTAAAGATACTCGTGTAAAAACAAACTCTCATTCATGTTCCCATCGGGACATCATAACCCCTAGTCATACCACTTACACCCCTAAAATGAAACTGCATCTCTTTGTCCATTTAAAATATTGTGAGGTTTGGAACATTACCCTGAATCAGCTATGCCCAGGCACCCTTGAGTTTTAATGTCAACCTTTCTCTACATTTCAGCATTTCATTCATCTACATAGCTTAATACATTTATGATCTTTTTACAAAGCCTGATAGCATTAATGAATATTTGCTATTTGAACAACGCTGTAGGCAGTTGTAATTGTCACACATCAGATTGTCAGACCATGGTGCAAACAGGGCTATGCTGGGCGCAAAGTGCTAAATATTGAGAGACATTCTATTTCTTTCTATGACAATTGCTCTTTGATGCAGGAGTGTACCTGATCAATCTCCGCCGTGGGTGTCAATTGAATATTTCTGAATAAGCTTTTCAAATTATTTAATATTTTTGCATAAACTATTATCAAAATATTAAAAAATAAAAAAGCATATCACATATAAAATGTATCTATATATTTGACTCATTATAGGGCAATACCAGTGTACTCCCGTCAATACCTGTTGATATTTACATGATAATGTACATTATTTCTGTACCCACCTATACCGAGCCTTTATCCTTTCAGATATGATGGATATACCAGAAACATTGTATTTCTTGTTGGCTTAACGTGTTTCCCCCTCCCTCATTTTTATTTCTGTACATTCCTCACTTTGTTGCACATAAAATATTTGTGGAACATGTCAGCATCTCAATTTGTGCTGCTAAGATGTGTCAATTGGTTTATCTTTGTAACACTCAGTAAAAATTTATCTCTATTTTAAAGAATATTAAAATATTTTTCAAAATCTGAAATCATTCTTAACATTTATCCAAAAACATTAACTCATTTGAAAAGCTTATCCAAAATATTAAACCAAGGCCATAATGAGGGACAGTTTGAACAAAATATGACCTCTTGGATTCCCGTACATTTCAACAACAACTTCATAAAAACATATCCAACAAGACTAAAATAGGGGCCAGACAATGAATAATGATGAAAATAACTTTGCTGTGAGGGAGAATGTATGATTTAACCTCCGCAGCCAATGACATAATGCTCACTGCATTCTCAATATTAGGTAAGGGAAGAGAATTTAATGTTTCAAAATTAACTCACCATACAGGCAGCCTGGACAGCTTCAGAGACATTCCCAGCATCTGGTTTACACCAGAACACCGTGCATTGAAAGCACTGTTTTCCCACGTCCACAATCAAGGCAAAAGTATGCGGGTCTTTCCCGATCCCAATGAATGTCACAAAGCGAACCTCACATTGCCAGACGAGATTTTCTTCACAATCCTCCAAAAAACATATTACTTATTAAAATGAATTAATCTGAGTGTCTATTCAAATGCAACAATAAAACATTAGCAGGGTTATTCACTAAACTGAGAATTTAAAACATTTAAAATTCAAGACCAAGCTAACCAAACTGGAAGCAAAGCAGACTTTGACCATAAATCCACTTCAGCTATGTTGACCTTAAATTCACTTTGAATTCCTACCAATGCTCACTTTAGTAAATGATAATATAGGTTAATACACGGGCTATGACTCAATCTGTATATATTATTTATCTTTATCTAAGATCAGACAGATAGATATACAGAGCAAATAGTCACTTATCATAGTGGAAGGGACCTCTGGTCTGGAACTTTGACCAGAGGTCTCACATGTTAAGAAATCCATAAGCAAACTATAATTCTAACATACAGATACAAAAATAAATGTTTTTCAAAAGAAAACCTTTTTGTTAACAGAAAACATGTGGTGAGTGAAAAAGTCCTGGACAGATGAGAAAAAAAGTGATGTACATATTGATGGTATACAATTTAAAATGCAACAACAGTAATACAAAACATGGGACAAAAACCTACACAGTTAATGGAACTGCTGCATGCATACACTGATACCAAGCATTCCAATACAGTAAATAAATTAAATACACACAGTAGAACTATACATACTGTGCCCACTTTGGTACTTAAAACAAGAATATTGTCTCTTTTTTTCTCTTTCTCCTTCACATATAATATTCTTTTCCGTGCACTTATGCATTGGGATACAACTTGTTGCTTAATATAAAAGCTGATCTATGGTGCTACAACCTGCAATATGAAGTGCTGCAGACAGAGGCGTAACTAGAAACCACAGGGCCCTGGTGTGAAAACTGCCCTGCCCCCCCATATGTCTACCTCCCCTCCCCTGTCTACCCCTCACCCCACCCCCATACGTCTACCCCCTCCCATACATCCCCCGCACTCATGCAAACAAGAAGATACACATGCAGACACACATGCACACACATATACAGAGAAACATACATACAGACACATATACACAAACACACACATACATACAAACACACACACACATACAGAGACACATACACTAACACAGGGTCCAGTGGCTCAAGCTAATGGGAGTCAGAGTTCCCACTCTGACTTCCTTCTCTCCTTCCTCCCACGGTGACTGCTGGGAGGAAGTGACTGGGGCAGTCACTTCCTCCCAGCTCTGACATAATCATCTGGAAATTCCTTGCCATCGGGCGGCCCTAACAGCATGAGCCACCCAATGGGCCTCTAAACGTGCGGCCCCGGCGCTTATTGAAGCACTGATCTTTATTTTTGTAATAGTCAGCTGCTTTGAAATTCAATATAAAAAAACAGCAATCTGTGGTTTAGCTTTGACCCATACCTAAGAACATTTCAAATGGACAAGAGGGAGGGAGGGAGAACTTTTTTTTATTTTTATATTGATGTATTTTTTTTATTTATGGATATTTTCTTTTTATATTGTAGCTTAGTTCAGACAAAGAACTTCTGCTTGTCATTAGGCTGTAGTGGAGTTGGGGAACAGCACCTAGTGGATCAAATGGAAGAAGTCAAACTATTCTAAAATTATTAGACTACTTACACTGGAGCAGCGCCAAGGCAATCCTGGCGCCATGACCACTACAGAGCGCTGTATTGTTTATAGTGCTTGGAGTCTTTCATTAAAGTCCATAAACTCAATACTTCACTGCAGTTATCAGTGAAGGAAATTATTATTTCTAGATCTCTATTGACACTTACCTAAATCCATACTAACCCTGAACTCCTGCGAACACTGACTCTGGATTCCAATTAACCCTAACCCTCTATCCTCACTATCCCTGGCTTTCTGCCAACCCTAAACCTGAATCTCTGTTAACCCTAACCCTGTACACGTGGCTAACCCTAACCATGGATTCCTGCTAAGCCTGTATCCTCACTATCCCTGGCTTTCTGCCAACCCTAAACCTGAATCTCTGTTAACCCTAACCCTGTACACGTGGCTAACCCTAACCATGGATTCCTGCTAAGCCTGTATCCTCACTATCCCTGGCTTTCTGCCAACCCTAAACCTGAATCTCTGTTAACCCTAACCCTGTACACGTGGCTAACCCTAACCATGGATTCCTGCTAAGCCTGTATCCTCACTAACCCTTAATAGTTTGATATGATGGGGTGTGAGGAGTAATACATACTTGCCATCTACTCCCCCATCTCCTGGGATATGGAATAAGGGCAAATAATTAAATGGGGGTTATGTATAAAAAATGTTGTGCTCTGAAAAGTGCTCTAGAGTACTGAAAGTAGAAAGGTCACCATGGAAACAAGCAGGCACATTGCGTTGATGACTCTTTCTTTTTTCGATGTTTGACCACTTTTCAGAACAGACACTTTTCATACATAACCCCATCGTGCCTATCTCATTATAATCCTAAGGAATGGGGAGTAATGTTTAAATAAATTCCACTCTACTACAAACTCAGCAGCAGAGGCTGTGTGCTGTTTAAGGTTATGAGGTGTTTAGGGTTTAGGGTGGCCATTGTAATGTTAGGGGCTACTAGGTGGTGTTAAGGGATTAGGAGTTTCCTGCCTTCAAGGTGTGTACTGTACTTTCCCTAGGGTCCTATTACGTCCTATTACTCTCATGGTGTGCATTGCTGAAAGGCATTACGGGGACATCACTGAAGTCAGAAGAAAGGGACACACTAATAGATCATTATAACATGCTGACTTTCATAATTTACCTCTTTGAGACGCACAGTGAGGACAGTATCAGTAACTTCAATGACAGATGGTTTCCACTGTTCTCTAAGTGTAGTCCTGGTTATATTTTCAATTGTGTCATTCAACACATCCATACCTATATGGATATACATAAGGAAACTGTGTTAATGTACTAATCCAGCTAGATGGAGGATATACTGTATATGGCTTTATTGGGCATAGCATGTACAAGTTTGTGGCGTGTTTAAAACCAAAGACAGGAATTTCAGTACTGTAATAATGTTTGTAACAGATCACCACAAGGTTTGTTGGATGAATTTTGGCTTCTACAGAAATTAAGCAGGGACTGTTTTTTCCCCTCTTACGTTTATCAAAATCTAGTAAAGAAAGGAATACTATATGGTGAGATGGTTGAGGGATGAAGGGGTTAATGTAGATCATTCTTGCCTACTCAGTTTGCGGTGTGTTTTATATTCAATGCTAATGATACCAGGCAATGACATCATACTCCCTGTCTGTTATGGCAAAACACATGATACAGAGCAGGAGAACAGGTCTGAGCCACCATGGACACAGATCTTTAGCTCATCTTTATTATTATTATTATTATTATTATTATGGTATTTATATAGCGCCATCAAATTCCGCAGCGCTTTACAATGGGTGGACGAACAGACATGTAGTTGTAACCAGACAAGTTGGACACACAGGAACAGAGGGGTTGAGGGCCCTGCTCAATGAGCTTACATGCTAGTGGGAGTGGGGTAAAATGACACAAAAAGGTAAGGATAGTATTAGACTAGTGACAGTTGCAGAAGAGGAATCAGTCAGGAGCTATTAACAGTTTAATTGATAAGCTTTTATGAAGAAGTGGGTTTTTAAAATGATTTTTTGAGACTTGGTGAGCATCTAACGGAAGAGGGAAGCGAGTTCCACAGGAACGGTGCAGCCCTCAAGAAATCTTGAAGGCGAGCATCAGAGGTGGGAGTACGGACAGAAGATAGACGAAAGTCTATAGCAAATCATAAGGGCCTAGACGGGACATACTTGTGTATAAGGGAGGATAGATAGGTGGGAGCAGCATTATGTAGAGATTTGAAAGCAAGAACCAGAATTTTAAATTGAGCTCTATATTTTATAGGAAGCCAATGTAGGGACTGACAGAAGGGTGAGGCATGGGAGGTGCCGGTGGACAGGAAGATGAGCCTCGCTGCCGCATTCATTATGGACTGTAACGGTGCAAGTTGGGAGCACCTAAGACCACTGAGAAGCGGATTACAGTCAAGGCGAGAAAGGACAGTGGAATGGACCAACACCTTAGTCGCATCTGGCGTTAAGTAGGGGCGGATGCGCGCAATGTTTTTGAGATGGAAATGACAGGATTTGGTGATAGATTGAACATGAGGCTTGAAGGAGAGGTTGGAGTCAAAGAGAACAACTAGGCAGCGAGCCTGCGTGGTGGAGCTGATGGTAGCACCGTTGACGTGGAGGGAGACAGACACAGGAGTAACAACACTTGAGGGAGGAAAGACCAGAATTTCAGTTTTGGTCAAGTTTAGTTTAAGGAAGTGGGCAGCCATCCAGAGGGACACTAGTCAAGAGGGACGGGAAGAGATCAGGAGAGGACAGGTAGATTTGTGTGTCATCTGCATAGAAATGATATTGGAAGCCAAAGGAGCTAATGAGTTTACCAAGGGAGGCAGTATAGATACAGAACAGTAGGGGACCAAGGACTGAACCTTGAGGGACACCAACAGAGAGGATTTGGGGAGAAGAAGTAGAGCCAGAGAAACAAACACTGAAAGAGCGCTGGGAGAGGTAGGAGGAGCACCAGGAGAGAGCAATATCTTGTAGACCGATATTGCGGAGGATGAGAAGAAGCTGTTGATGATCAAAAGTGTCAAACGCCGCAGACAGGTCAAGGAGAATTAGGATAGAGTAGTGACCACGAGAGTTTGCAGCGAGTAGATCATTGGATACTTTGGTCAGTGCTGTTTCAACAGAGTGCTTAGCGCGGAAACCAGACTGAAGCGGGTCTAGCAGAGAGTTGGACTCGAGGAAGTCTGTCAATCTTGCATACACAATTCTTTCAAGGATCTTGGATGCAAAAGGCAGTAGCGAGATAGGGCTTCTTTAGAATTGGGGTTACAGTTGCATGTTTGAAGGGCGATGGAAATATACCAGAGGACAGATAGAGATTAAGAATTTTAGTGAGAGGTGGAGAAAGAGAAGAAGACAGAGTACGGATGAGATGCGAGGGAATTGGATTTAGGGAGCAGGTGGTGGGGCGGGAGGGCTGGCGCAGAGCAGAAACCTCTTCCAATGCAGCAGGTGCGAATGAACATAGAACAGCAGAGGGAGTGAAGTTAGGGGAAGTATTGTAAGGGGAAGAAGAAAGATGAGAGATCTCTTCTCTGATTGTAGAGATCTTGTCAGTGAAGTGAGTTGCAAAGTCTGAGGCAGTCAAGTTAGTAGGTGGAGGAGGAACAGTAGGGCGAAGAAGAGAGTTAAATGTGTGAAATAGTCGTTGGGTTCTTGCGAAACTGCCGAGGACAGCAGCCCCCTAGCCCGTATAATGAAAGCTGAATTGGGCTAAATTATATTGTTATCATCTGATAATGATTCTTTGTTTATTAAATTATATTTTAAGAGCTAAACAGTAACACAATTCTGGAAATATTGGAAAATACCTGTAGTAATAAATGTAGGGCTTGAATTGTAGTAATCTGATGCTTAATACGTGTTCAGAATTTTCTAGGTTTAATACGTCATCTAGCTGCTAGCCATTACTTCCTAACTGTAGAATTTATAGAAAAAAATCAAAATGTATGTATTCAGTACTACAACTCACCCATTGGCTTTGACACAGGCAGGCTGCCAAGGTATAGGATATCATATTTCTGGATGGATTGCCGAACAGTGTCAAGAATTCCAACTAGAAAAAAAGCATACACGAACGAGTTCTTAGGTGACAAAATAACATCAAATGATCAACACAGACAGACTAAAAACATATAAACAAATTCTATGTCTGCACTGACGTAAATAATGACCCACATAGTCAAATAGAACTGCCAGTGGTCAAATAATTCAGATTTTTTTTAAACCAGGCCTGGATTTAAAGCATCCGGACCTGGATTTCAGCCATCCGGCAGTGTTAGCTAAAATTTGGACCTAATTCAGCCCGTTCAGTGACAGAATTACAAAATCCAGACATTGTTAAATAGCGGGAACAATGTCCTGATTTTGCAGATTGGGTTAGTGAATAAACCTGTAAGATTTAAGTGGGTAGACAGTATTAGTGACAAAACAACTCAGTGGTAAGTTGAGCCTGTTAAGTTTTTGAGGTTTACATCATGATGGTGTAGACTATGCTATTTATTCTTCCAAGTTTAACAAGTTACAGAGACACTATAGGCATCCAGACAACTTCATCTTATTGAAGTGTCTGGGTGCAGCGCCACTGCACTGTATAATTCTGCAATATAAAACATTTTAGTTTCGGAGAAACCTCTGTCTGCCAGACAGCCACTGGAGACGCTTTTAGCTCTCTAACAGGGTTTTACTCCATGAAACAACATTGGACGTCCTCATTCTGATGTCTAGAGTTTGAAATTCCCAATTTCCCATAGAAAAGCATTGATTAAATGCTTTTCTATGGAAAAGCTTTAAAACATGTGCGTCAAGTGCAATGCATGCACATTAGGTCATACAATCCCTGTGACATCACAAGAGGAGAAGACCTAGCTAGCAAAAGGTAAGTGAAAAAAGGGTTTTAACCCTTTTGCACTGAAGCTGGGAGGGACTGAACTATTAGATTAGGGATAGGGGCTCTATAGGTATACAAAATGTATAGTGTTACTTTAATAGAAAGCTCTAATAACACTATGGTAATTGGTTAAAATACATGAATATCGATTCGTAAGACAGCTCTCTCATGCATTGCATGTTATTGTTATAATTTATTTTCTTCTAATTTAATTTTTGGGGGTCGGTGATGCATACAAACTGGTGCTGACATGCATTAGCCTGAATTTAATATACAGTATGTTCATCTGCTGGATAATGTGTCAGAGAGCTCTGACATGCACAGGAACCCCCTGAATAAATCAGAATTGTGTTTTTATTGTTTGTCAGTGATTTCCACTGATGTCCCCTGAGAACTGGAGCACTAAAGATATACATTTGCACTCTTGGATACTGGTCAGAAAAACGTAGCTTACCAATTAGCAATATAATAAACTTGGTAAACGTGTAAACATATTATTAATAAGCTCACTGACAAACTTAGGCTCATCAGTGAGCAAATTAAGCAAATATTACTTCAAAGATGCAGCCAATAGTGGCTAAATTGCAAGTTGTGATACATGTTTCAGGTTGTTCCATAACCTGCCCTTTATAAATCATTGATGGAGCAATAGAGATTATTGTAAACAAATATCTACTTTGTAGATTGTTACATAAGTGTTTCTTTTTATAAGGAGTACAAAACGTTTTGAATTTTTTCCCCAATATTCTTAAAAGGACACCATAAGCACCTAAACCACTACAACTTAATGTAGTGGTTTTGGTGTAGAGAGACTGTCCATGCAGTCAGACATTGCCTATGCTGTTCACTAAGGACACTTCTAGCAGCTGTCACATTCTATTCCTTCTTATTATGGCAATGCAATCATTGCAGGATTTACATTCGGTGTCTGCAAGAAGACACCGAACGCTCTCCATAGATATACATCGGTATAATGTATCTCTATGATGAGATGCTGACTGGCACAGTGTGGTGATTGACGCATATGCACAATAGGACCTCCAATGCTTCTCTGTAGAAGCATTGGAGGTAATGATGATCTCAACCAGGGGAGGAGTTGGTCTATGGTATTGAAGGTGAAGAACTTCTTTATTTCAGGCTTACAGGGGGAATCTCAACATCTAAACATGCAGGAGAATATGGTAATGTTAGAAATACATGTTTTTTATTTGTAACATCTAGAGATGTTTCTTCTTGTATGTATCAGGAGTGCTTGAGAAGCTATTTTAAATAAAGAAATTATGTTAATAAACTATCTATACCTTGGATTGGTAGATCCTCTGGTGAGATTGTCTCCAAGGTAACAGATCGAGTGATGGTATTATTGGCCACTGCTTTTTCTGCCATAATCTGAAAGCAGAAAAGCATTAGTATGACTTGAAATATAGCCAAGACTTTCATATAACGATGGCAAAACTTTGTCAGTCCAGATGCGTGCCGAAGGAATCAATTTGAGATTATTCTGGACTGTTTTAATTTGAAGAATTTGAGAACTCAAGCCATTATTTTGTTTCAAATATTGTACCATCATACTATATGTAGTATATGTCCACTTGTATATGCAAGTTTTTAACATTCATTTCAATGCCTAGAGGCTTTTATCTGATTGGCTAGTAGTCTGTAGTAAACCTTTCAAGACCAGGGTTCAGCAAAAACCATCCTTACTGAATGAAGATATGCGGTGGGGGGTGCAGTGTGTGTGTATTTGTGGTGCAGTGTGTGTGTGAGGTGGTGCAGTGTGTGTGTGTGAGGTGGTGCAGTGTGTGTGTGTTTGTGTGTAAATAGCATTGCTGTAAGAGCTAAAACAGGCCAGTGTGCTCTAGTATTTAATATTATAATTCTAATGCCTTGCTTTATATAACTTTTTGTATTACCTTGATGTTGTAGAAAACCTGATAAAGTCACTACACAATGCCAAACCTTTAGCTTCATATAAAGTGATTTAATGAGGTTTGAGTGTTGAATGGTGTATATAAAACGATAACTGAGTAAGCAATTTCAGGATTTAGAAGTCATATTGATCTGAGAAAGAAATAATTCATCATATTCATACCTTGGAGCACATGTCATGTAAAGCACTAGCAATAGCTTTTGCTGGGACATCGCAACGAAAAACATGGCACTTCAGCATGCAGGTATCTTTGTCATTCGCTACGAAAGCAAAATCTCTACAACACAGAAAAAGCAGGTTATCGTAATCTGTTATTGATGGAAAAGGACAGTTGTTTTATGCTTGAAGTTTTGTTATTAGTTGTGTACACAAGAACTGTGGAACATTTTGCTTGACAAATTATAGGCCCATTGCCTTATGCATATATACTTTATTTTCCTTTTAATAGTATGAGATCCCAGTTAAACAATATGCCCAATCTTTCCATATTTATTTTTTAAACACACTACAGTCCTGACGCACAGCTAACAAATTACAGAATGTTTGCAAAGAACTGTATCTCTGTATATGTATATTTTTAATTAATTTATTTGATCTAACAGCATTTATTGGTACATGAGAAAATACAAAAAAAAAAACCCACACAAATACATTCTATTTATATAGCTATAGATTGTTCTGGAAAATATTATTTACCTGTCCCTTTAAACATCATGGATGGAAAGCACAAAAAAGGAAATAAAAGGAAAATAACTTTAGTTTACGAAAGACTGGTTTTAGAAAATGTACATTGATAATATTATTGTGTCATATATTTAAACGCTAGATATTCTACATTACTATGTGGGCATTTGTTGAAAAGCTTGACTCAAAAAGAAAATAAGAAAAAAAATTCTGTCATTAGTTATTTAAAAAACAAAACAAAAAACATAAAATGCTAATGCAATGTGAGCTTAGTTTGAAAGGCTACTCCAAGCATAATAACCACTACAATTCACTGTAGTGGTTATGATTTGAGGAGTACTCTGGCCCCATTTTGCAACAGTTTAACCTTTTTCCATTTAAAATGTTTTATTAGGTTTCTCAATATATTGGGGGTACAGAAAAAAAGAATAGGGGATAGGGGTCATCATTAGATATTGTAACAACAACTAGCTTAGAAGGGCAGCGCAGTACCCTCTTTCTGAAGTAAACCGGGTATGTGGTGTTTATAAGGAACAATTTTCGTAGTTTTAACCTGGAAACCTTATGCTATCTCATTTAATTCACAGTTTTGTAGGTTGTTATTTGTTTTAGTACATTCTGCGTTTAGAACTATATACAGTGTGGGTATCTCTTTTTGCCATATTGTCTTCAGTATGGGATTAGTGTTGCATGTGTGAAGCAGTTTTGACAGCTTCCAATCGGCCCTTCCTTAGACCCTTGTTACTTTTTTTTTTTCTCTACAGTTTGACCTTTTTTTTTTAAGAGTCCCCACGAGGAGGTGTGGATCCTTCCTGCTCGAATAAAGCACATCCAGCTTCTGTTCAGCTGCAGAAGCCAGATGCTGAGGCTGTCTCTTTTCATTGGTTAGGAGCACCAGCTAACCACTCATAATTGCAATTCTGTGTGTAGAAATATTCACAGAACTGACATCAGCCAGCCAAGAACTCTGACACCCCAATGACGCTGCTAGAGGCGGAGTTACACCTCCAGCAGTAGAGGCGTTAAACTTCATAGGTGCAGTGCTTCAAAGCAAAAATCTGCACATACAGACTCCAGGCACCATGACCACTTCATATCACTGAAGTTACAAAGACTGACACTATAACAGTAGACCAATGGAAGGGTTCCATGTCACATATGATGTCATACTGAGGCACCAGTAAGCTAGGGATAAGTGGGTGTGCACCAGACTCAGAAAAGACATATATCATGACACACATCAGACTGATCCATAAGGGCAGTCCGGAACTGAAATGCCAGCAAATTGCCTCTACAGGAAACATACAGAGACCCTGGACAATCGTTTTGCCTTCATTGGGCATCTTCAGTAAGGTGTAGCTGATACCCCTATAGGCACAGTGTGCACGGTGGTCATGTCTGGACTGCCCTTTTAACTTAAGAAGAGCCTAAGCAAATCCATTAACCAAAAACAGACAATATGAGAACTCCAAAAAATAGGCAAAAACTCAGAGAACTTGACCTTTGGTTAATCCACATTCAGGTAAACTCATGTTGTTTACCAATAATCCTATGAGCATCAGCGTGGGAACCAAAGAAAATCTGGGGGGACCGCCTTTCAAAACAAAAACCCAGCTAACATATGGAGCATACATTAAAACATAATAGTTTCTAGAGGCAAAATGCTATAGTATGACAAGGGAGTCTATTAGCAGACTGGGGTAACCAACTCTTTTAATATATTGTATTTATTCTGTTTCAGTGAAAGTACAGTGAGTTACAGTGAAATATGAAATTATTTCGCCATTTTTGTGACTGTTGCACTTCCACAAAATTGCACAGAATTCCACCCATAATTCTATTAACTCTGTCTGAAACTACTTTCCTTTATGGTGAAAATGTGTCCTTTTTAGTAGCATTGTCAGACATCTCTCATATCTGACATACTGCTAAATGGCAAATAACTTAACATTAATAACTTTTGTAGCTCCAAATATTTAGAATTGTGTTTTAGTTACTTGAAAAGGTCAGATCCTTTTTATACAGGTTTTTGCTATTTAGTCCACCTCTGTAAACACTATAAAACATATGCACTAACCATGTTTCTCCCATGGGAAAAATGTTATTCCACACGAAACATGTTGCAGAGTGCTCTGGAAAGTCAAGTAATTGTGATTAAACATAACTGTCATTCTATGCATTCCTCGATAGCTTTAAACACATGAAGAAAAACCTACATTAAATTCTAGCAATTTCATTTTAGCAAACATGCTGTATAAGTGCATTGATAGATAAAAATGCTGTATAGTCCGCACAGCAGAATATGATATACCATTAGAAGTCAAAATAATACAATAAATAATACAAACAGGTTTATCCATGGTCAAGTTGATTGTGTGCAAAACAGCCATCTGGCAGCGAAATCTCCAAGTCAGCAATTCACTAAAAGCAAGCCATTTATAAAGTTGTCCATTGCAACAGACTCACAGTCCAGGTTAGTTATAGCTAGATACGGCTATAAAACAAAATGCTGACTTCTTCGACCTCTACAGTTATAGCAAAATGGCTTTTTACAAAGCACTGACTTATACTCAACTCAGAACAAATCTGGTCTTTTGTTGGAACTGGATATATTCCAAGCAGAGTGCTCCTAATGTACCTAATACAAATAATAGACCGGAGGCAAATGCATGACTAGCACATTATATATATATATAGTTGGAGGGAGGCCATATTTCCATGTTTGGGGAGCCGATTGATTAGGATGTGTATGTTTGAAGGGGGCTGTTTTTGGTGTCAGTGAGTGTGTGTACTACAGATAAAATATTATTTACTGACATCTTAACATCACTGTGGTAACAAGGAGACAATGCTCTGATACATTCAGAGGTGCCAGAGGACACGGGAGCAATACACATGGTGTGCACCCATTAGATGTACTAGACACATGCTCTCTGGGCACTGGGCCTGCCAGGAAGATCTTTCATCTACCCATCCTCCACAACTCTACTGGTTGTGTCTACCCTATATAGGCTATGACATACTGATTTTTATGTATTGTTTAATCATTGAATATGTCATCACTTATCACTATAGCATCAGTTATAAGATGGAGGTGATGAAATGATAGATGAGGAATCCCAATCAATGTTCTAACCCTCATTACTAGGTATAGTGACAGACTTGTTATCTCTTTTTGTGAAAAAAAACAACTTAGAGGGAACTATTTCAAGGCTTACAAATGAAAATGTTGTGCTGAACTACATTTGAATTCTCTTGGCAGGTTTATGGGATATGCTCACACTTCCATGGAAGACCATGGGAAGACTAGAATCAGAATGAAAGAGGTTTCATTTAGTTCCTATTGTGAGGAGGACTCAGTGCGGACGATCCTAAGGTTAAAGGGACAATATGTCACCAGAACAACGACAGCTTAATGTAGTTGTTCTGCTGAGTATGCCATGTCACTGCATTCTTTTTGTTGTAAAACTGTCTTTTCAGATTTATTCAATGCATCTCTATGAGGAGATGCTGATTGTCCTGGGTGGTATCTGACTCTGCCCTCCCCCTCTGAACCTATGGGGAAACATTGTGATTGGCTAAGATCATCACTTCTGATGATGTCAGCCATGAAGGTGGATTGGGAGTAGAGCCAGCACCAACAGACCTGCATGGCACCGGAAATAAGGCAAGATTTTAGTATATTTAGGTTGGAAAGGGGGGACCAGGGGGCAACACGTTTGTATTCCTGACGCTATAGTGTTCCAATAAATACCTTTATTTCTAAAAAAAAAAATATTTTACATTTATGATGCCTTTTCCACACAATGCATTATTTAAAATGGGAATAACTCGTGCTCAGAGTGTCATTTAATGTTATCTAATTGGATAACATGTTATCTCATCTTACCTGCCATTATTGCAGCCAACACCCCACACGCGAATGTTGATGATGGGTTGAGAGTGTATCAAACTGTGATCAAGTGGGTCCACTAAGCTCATAGTATCTTTCTTTAAAATCATCACCATGTTCTGTCCCTAATAAACAATATTAAGGATTTAGGATGAACTGTGCATTGTTCAGAATTGATTTTTACAGTGCTCTTTGAATGGTGAAAAAAATGGCATGTACCATGCGTGGAACGTGCATGCTGATGCTACCTAATGCATATTACGCTACAAGCTGAGAGAGGCCATTTTTATTGATAACTGATACAAGCTCCTTATGCCATTTACCTGTGACAACCAGCATTTCTCACGGCAATAGGAGAGAAAATGTTCTGCTAATAGACCAAACACCTCCAGTCTCTGCTAATTGGCTAAAAGTGTACTAAAACTGCGTGCATCTTAGGATATAGATGCCATGATTACATCATTTGGACTTCATACTAAAAATATATATCTTCCTTATATTAAAGAAGTTAAAGTTATTTGTAAATTTGAAAATCATTTTAACATGACTTAAATTCAATATAAATATTCAGATAACCAGATAACTGGACTTAATTCATATTCATTGTTGAAGACATCACAAAATTACAAAAAACATATTACTTTTCGCATTTCTACGAGTAGATCAAATCTTAGATACCACATCCATTAACCACTTACTTTTGAGGCTTCTTCAATATGAAATAAATCATCATTCATTGCACCAAGTAAAATAGATTAACTGATTTTACCAAAAAGTATAGCAGGTAATATTTACGCTACCATACTAGCTTGTCACGTGAACCTACTCAACACACATCATGTCAACATAATGCCTTCTGTACTCTAGTGTACATCTTTGCAATGAGGGAGGCAAATATATCAACACCCATGACTGATTAAAGGTTTGACTTGTAATTCATTTGTAGGTCTCTCATATTCTATAATGTCTAAACAGTGACATTTACACATAGTATCGTTAAAGACCTAATTTCTGTCTACTGTGCTAAATATGTCTATTCTGTCTGTTCGGAATAAACAAAATTTGCTTTGAACTATTAATACTATTCTTTATGATACTGCTCATTGTTTATGGTATTTTTACCATAGCATTTAGGAGAGCTGGGATATTAATTCCCAACTAATGATCTCACTAAAATCAATTAATCTTTTTGAATAATCTGATATAGCATGATCAATGTCCTTATGCAGAGTTTACTCACTTCATTTCCTGAGCCTATTATATCTGGCCCATCACATGTAGTATGAGCAAGTTGCTGGATGCAGTTATTAACCGTAATACTGCTTTTCCCTGGAGCAAGGTCTTCTTCTGGAATTTCAACCCACCCAAGGCAATGAACAGCAAAACTCTAATAAAACACAGAATGTACTGTTAATTCTTTGCAATAAAATAAATCAATTAAAACAAACAATGCAAAAACTCCACTAAACAATGAATTAGAAATCACATTTTGAATTATTTGCGCAGAGAGATGAGTTGGGGAATTTATACATTTCAGCTACTTTGGTTTAGCACTTCAAGAGTGTGGGAAGTACAAGAGAGTTTGTCTTCTTCTTTCCATATTGTTGTGTGCTCTTTGCCACTTTCTATTATTACAATAACATTTTATCAATATGGAAAGTATTGGACGCTCCCAGAAAGCTTTTAAACCATGGGGTAAATTATAATCCAGCAGCTACGTTTGATCAATAACATTAATGACTGCTCTTTATTAATTATAAGATTGTTTCTCCAAAATCCTGAGGTTAGCTGCAAACAAAATGGATGCATAGATCCAAGCCATAGGATTAACGAGGTTGTGACTGTATTAACGGTGTGGCAGCTGTGAAAAAGTGCATATAATTAAAAAGTTAGCTTTTATTCACCCCAGAAACCATAATCAGGACAAATGATTTCATTAGTTTGGAGATAGCAGAACTAGAACCCAAATATATTATATATTTAAAAAATGTAATCACTCCTGACAGGTTTAAATGATATTTCTACTTCAATGTTCCAATGTGTATGAAATGTTTAACCAGTGATGGGTCATAGTTGACAATCTTAATGACATCTAACAGTGTGCTTTAGTTCATTTAGTAGCTGAAAACACACCGCTTATGAGACAAGATGAGTAGTTTAGAAAGACTTGTGCACTAATATTAATTTGGTAATGAGACACCAGCTACTGAATGATCTCATCCACTCCCTGTTTCTCCCACCAGCACTCTATGTTAAAGTTTACGCGCCACACTCCAGCATGTAGAATTAATCCGTCACCAAATTTTTATTTAAAAAATAAAAGTAGGCAGACAGCTACTTTGTCTATTCAGAAATCTAGGACTAAGTCCAATGGATGCCATGTAACGCTATTAAGGTTATTGCTAGGGCAAACAAACGAGGGGGCTCCATTCAAGAGTAAATGTCATGTCTCCTCTCAACCCCTACCCCCTCTATATCTAACTCGCACCAGTTCAACTACCCCCACCATGCTGTATTAACCATGTACACACGGCATTAACCCAGTATTCTACCAGTATCCACTGAATTCAAATCTGCATCCATAATTATGATGGAGGGAGATAAAAGGGATAGACCAGTGATGTGAACTGCATCCCTGTGACCACTCAAAGGGGATGCACCCAACCAGAATGGAGATGGGTCAGTTTGAAGAATTGGCAGGTGAGCTTGGAGTAAATGCATTGCCAGGTTGCACACTAATTAAGCAATCTAGCCCATGTTTCAGTGCTCTCTGCAGGGGCTAGTGCCTTGAGTGTAGCACAAGCATGTATACTGATCAGGGCTGGACTGGCCTACTGGGATATGGGGAGATTTCCCGGTAGGCCGCCTTCCCCGGGGCCACTTTGTGCTGCGGCTGCAATCAGCCGCAAGATAGGAAAGTCAGCCTTACCTATCTGTGTGACCGATCGCGTGTTCCTGCGACTGCCAGCATCCCCAGGATCTTAAAGTATTGGTCCTTGCTGGCCACCGGATATGAGCATGCAGCGTATGCAGTCATATCCAGCAGGAGTGCAGCGGCGGAGCTTCAGTGCGCACAGTGGCTGACAGTGGCCCAGCCAGTGCACCTTACCTCCTGCTCGCAGTGCCTGCTTGAGCAGAGAATTGTGCAGGCTGGACTGGAACTGGAGGAGGGCTCATCTTGAGGTAGGGGAAGAGGGGCGTGGGGGACCTTCCTGTTTAATTAGGAGGTGGGCAGTGTATTACATTGAGAGGGTGGGCAGTGTATTAAATTGAGTGTAGGGGGAAGAGAATGTATTGAATTGGGGGGAGGGCAGTGTAGTTAATTGGGGCAATGGGGGAGTGAGGGGGAGGGTATTATATTGTATTTTATTGGGGGAATGAGGGGGAGGGTATTGTATTGAATTGGGGGAGGGTAGTGTATTTAATTGAGGCAATGGGGGAGAGCAATGTATTAAATTGGGGGCAGTGTATTAAATTGGGGGAAGAGCAATGTATTAAATTGGGGGAGGTGGCGCAACGTATTCAGTTGGGGAAGGGGGTTGTGTATTACATTGGGGAGGGGGGAGAGCAATGTATTAAATTGGGGGTAGTGAGGGGGAGGGTGGTGTATTAATTTAGGGGGAGGTCAGTGTATTTAATTGGGGAAATAAGGGGGAAGGCAGTGTATTACATTGGAGGAGGGCAATGTGTTTAATTGGGTGGTGGGAGAGAGCAGTATATTAAATTGGGGAGGAAGGGGGAGGGCAGTGTAATAAATTGGGGGGAAAGTAGTGTATTAAATTGGAGTGTGTCGGGGCAGTGTATTGGTGGGAGGGGGCTGTGTATTAAATTAGGGAGAGGAAGCAGAGGCAGTATTTTAGATTGGCGGAGTGGGCAGTGTTTTAAATTGGGGGAAGGAAGTAGTGGCAGTGTATTGAATTGGGGGGGGAGGGTGGAGGGGAGCAGTGTATTAGAGTGGAGGGATGGTGGAATGGGGGCAACAGGGCCAGTGCAAGGATTTTTGCTCCCCTAGACAAAAGAAAGATTTGCCACCCCCCCATGTGACATCACAATGCCCCACCCATATGATCTGCCATATGAACTAACGCCAGTGCTGCACACAGTGTGTGTTTACGTTAAAAAGCCTGCAGGGATAGGCTATAGACACCGGAACCACTTCATTAAGCTGCAGTGCTTCTGGGGACTATAGTGTCCCTTTAATGTTTAGGTAAATTAGAGATTAGTGCCACCAATAATATACTAGATTGCCTACTTACAACCAGATGAGAATGGTGTTGGGCTCTGGCTGCAGTCTGGCTCCACTAGTCTGGTGTCTGGTGGCTCTCTGGAGGCTGTTTGTAAATGTGGTCACAAAATTCAATGTTCTGGGAGAACGGGAAGCAGCTCCATTTTTTGGTGCCCCTTACACAGCTCAAGGTCTGGGCTCCAGGGCCTGTCGGTGAGTATGCCCATAAGGCCCACCCATAAGTCCATCTACAAGTTCCACCCATGAGTTCGCTCACAGGGAGTGGAGTGTGTAGGGGATGTGCTACGTGTTAGTGTAGAGGATCTAAAGTGTGTGCTTTTGGAATGTAGTGTATGGTCATACCAGTTTGTGTAGGTGATGCAATGTGTGTGTAGTGGATGCAGTGTGTTTTTGTGTAAGGGATAGAAAGCAGTGTGTGTTTTTGTGTAAGGGATGTATTGTGTGAATCTGTGTTTGTATGCGTAAGGGATGCAAGGTGTGTTTCTGTGCATGTAAGGGATGCAGTGTGTGTGTCTGTAAGGGGTGTGTGTAAGAGAAGCAGTGTGTATTTGCGTGTGTGTGTAAGGGATACATTGTGTGTTTCTGTGTATGTGTGCAAAGGATGCATTGTCTTTGTGTGTAAGGGTTGCATTGTGTGTGTGTGTGTGTGTGTGTGTGTGTGTAATGGATGCATTGTGTGTTTCTCTGTGTATGTATAGGGATGCAATGTGTGTATTTGTGTGTCTGTGTAGTGTGAAAGAGATAGTTTTTTGGGTAGGATAGGGGCTGAGTCCTACCAGCCCCTTTGTGCTTCTCTTTCCCCCCGTCCCCAGCCTCTCTCCCCTCCTATCCCTTAGTGCTCTCCCCTGCCCCACTGTCCCTTAGTGATCTCCCTGTCCCTTAGTGATCTTCCTGCCCCCTTTCCCATAGTGCTCTCCCTTCCTGTCTCTTAGAGCTCTCCTCTTCTTTCCCTTAGAGCTCTCCCTCCTGTCTCTTAGATCTCTCCCCTCCTGTCTCCTAGTGCTCTCTCCTACCCCCTGTCCTGTGCCTTGGTGCTCCCCCCACCCCTTAGTGCTCTCTCCTACCCCCCATCCCTTAGAGGTCTCCCCTTCCCCCTGACTTATAGAGCTCTCCCTTCTGTCCCTTAGTTCTCTCCTCTGTCCCTTAGTGGTCTTTTCTCTCCTCCCCTGTCCTTTATTGGTCTCTACTCTTCTCCTCCCCTTTCCAATAGTGGTCTCTCGTCTCCCCATTAGTGGTCTCTGCTCTCCTCTGCCTCCCCTAGTGGTCTCTCGTCTTCTCCCCCCCTTTCCAATAGTGGTCTCTCGTCTCCCCATTAGTGGTCTCTGCTCTCCTCTGCCTCCCCTAGTGGTCTCTCCTCCCCCTCCTTAGTGGTCTCTCCTCCCTTCCCTTTCCATTAGTTGTCTCTCCTCTCCCCCCTTTTCCATTAGTGGTCTCTCCCCCCTTCCACCCCTTTCCATTAGTGGTATCTCCCCTCTTCAACCCTTTTCCATTAGTGGTCTCTCCTCTCCACCCTTTGTTGTCTCTCCTCCCTCCCCCCACCTCCCTTATTTGTCTCTCCTCTCCCCCCACCCTCCCCTAGTGGTCTCTCCTCTACCTTCCTGTCTCTTAGAGCTCTCCTCTTCTTTCCCTTAGAGCTCTCCCTCCTGTCTCTTAGATCTCTCCCCTCCTGTCTCCTAGTGCTCTCTCCTACCCCCTGTCCCGTCCCTTGGTGCTCCCCCCACCCCTTAGTGCTCTCTCCAACCCCCCCATCCCTTAGAGCTCTCCCCTTCCCCCTGACTTATAGAGCTCTCCCTTCTGTCCCTTAGTTCTCTCCTCTGTCCCTTAGTGGTCTTTTCTCTCCTCCCCTGTGGAGAGACCCCCTCCCTTAGTGGTCTCTCCTCTCCCACCCCCCTTAGTGGTCTCACCTCCACCCCACCTCCCTCCTTAGTGGTCTCTCCTCTCCCACCCTCCTTGTGGTCTTGCCTCACCACCCCTTAGTGGTCTCTCCCCCCACACATTCTCCTCACCTCCTCCCTAGCAGTGGACTGTTCCCCCCACGTTCTCCTCCTCCCCTTAGTGGACTCCCCCTACATTCTCCTCCCCCCACCATTCTCCTCCCCCACCCTCCAAAGTTCTCCTGACCCCCCTCCCTCCCTTAGTGGACCCCCCCTACCCTGTGTAGCGTGACCGAGCTCCTCTCCGGTCCGCGGTACAGGAGCTTCTGTTTCCTGTACCTGGCCAGACTGACAGGAAGTGCACACTGAGTGAGCACTCCGTGTCAGTCCACCAGGTACCACGGACCGGAGAGGAGCTTGGCTTGCTACACTGAGGGACTGACAGGAGGGAGCGCTGTGCGCTTCCCTCCTGCTGATTCCTCATACTTGTGCGCCGGGCCGATGAGCCCTAATGGACGCACCGGCCCGAGCAGTATTGCACCTGTCTGTGGCTTTCTACAGAGGCCTTGGTTGCCTTATAGAATGCGCCGGCCCTTGGAGGCAGTGTATTAGTTTGTATGCTGTTGGGCTGGTATGCAATTAGTTCCAGGGCTGGTTTTCATTTCCAGTCCAGCCCAGATACTGATGCACTCACGCTACACTTTTAAGGACAGTTCCAGTACAAACGCAGTATAAACAGGATACCCCATAAGCGGGATACCAGGGAACAAAGTGGAAGGGGCACCATACAGCTAATTTTAGGAGTGTTGGGAGGCCTGCTGTATAATTAACTTCAAATATGGTACATTTAGGTAATTGCAGTATATAGTAAGATAATTAGTTATATTACCTTACAGCCTGGCTCATCAATATTGTAGAATAAGTCCTCATCATGCCAAGGAATGGAATGCCTTTAAAACAAAGTAAATTCAACAAATTATCAGAAGTGACTATTGCAGAATTTTACTCATAAATTGTCCACAGGGTCAATTTTGAATGACAGGTTCACATAAGTATGAAATATTCATAAACTTCCCACAACAACAAACCCACCTCCAAAAAAAAAAAAAAAAAGCATTCACAAGCATCCAATGTCCTAGGGAAGTATCTAGAATGCCTCAAATGAATTAGTGGTATTGCTGTAGGTGTTCCATTTGGAGATTGTCAGAGTTATTTACTACAGTGAGAATTCAAAGTGAATTTCAAATTTAATCCAAATAGGCAAACTAGAAAAAGTCTCTAAGTCAGCTTAATGTAATGGTTCTGGTTCTGGGGCATAGAGCCTATCTTTGCAAGTTCAGCAGTGTAAAAGCACTGCTTTTTATGAAAAAAGGTACTGTTTTCACTGCTGCCTAACACCACCTCGACAGGCACTAGTGGGGCTTCCTGGGTTCAGTGTCTAGACCAGGGATAGGCAACCTTTTAGCAGCACTGTGCCAAAATAGGATTGTGATGTCCCGTAGTGGGCCGGTCCTATTTTTTTAAATTGAGGTGTGTGTACTGCCGTATTCTGTTATTTTTACTGTGATTGCTTTGTATTGTTGTATTTGTGCGTGTATAAGCTATTATATTGTATATGTTCATTAGTAGTTTGTGGTATCGTGTATGATACGTATGAATGTGGGCTGTGTATGAGGGCTGCTTGTGGAATTGTGTGTGGATGGATATGTCACATTGTGTGTTTGGTAGTGTGTGGGGGCTGTTTGGTGTATTGCATGTGAGAGGCTGCATATGGGGTTGTGTGCATGTATGTGGATTGTTAGCGGGCTACGTTTGTGCAGATTATGTGTTGTGTTTGTGTGTGGGCAGTTCGTATTATTTGTAGGAGAGGAGGATTATTCTGCATTTCTGTGTATATCTAGCAGTGTGGGTGGCTTCCCTGGGTTCCAGTGGGGACCAGGCTGGCCTGGTACAGGTCAAGGACAGGAGCTGCAATAGCAGCTGCAGGCTGCTCTACTACAGATCCGAGATCACTTCCTCTATGTGCTGCAATGCATAAATTGAGGATTGTCATTCACCACCTCTTCGGATTAGCAGATATCTGAAGTTTCACTGGGACTCCTGATAGGCCAGAGCCTGTTTGTCTCTAGCAGCCTTGAGTGCCGTGCAAAGACACCTTGAGTGCTGTGCATGGCACTAGTGCCGTAGGTTGCCTACCCTTGGTCTAGACACTCTGCATGAAAACACTGAACGCTCCCTGTAGGGATGCATTGATTCAATACATTCCTATGAGGAGATGCTGATTGGCACAGACTGGCGATTTGCTGTGCATGTGCATTTGACTCCCAATGATTCCCTACGAAGAAGCACTGGATTGGCTGAGATTGTCAGGATTGGTGATCTAAGCCAGGGAGACAGGCACACGGGAGGAGTAAAGGTGAGTTAATCTATTTATTTCCTTTAAGGAGGGCCTGGTAATCTAAATAGTTACTAGAACACTGTAGCCTTAGGAGTACATTTTTGTATGTCTATTACTATAGTGTTCCTTAAAATTTGAAATTCACTTTGAGTTCTCACTTTAGTAAATAAAAAAAATAAAAAAACCCTAACATATTGTGAGATACTGTATGTATAATATAGCCTGACTACATGGGAAATACATTATTATCGACATTTGTAGAATAGTGCAAGAACAGCATCACCTGTATACATTGAATAAACCCCAAGATGGAAAGAAGAATTAAAATAAATCCTACAAATGTGCCTACATAAACAATCATGTTAGGCCATTCAGTAATGGAAATTCGTATTGTTTGTAATTAAAGGGACACTATAGTCACCTGAACAACTTTAGCTTAATGAAGCAGTTTTGCTCAATCCTCTACCATTTAGAATTTAAATCCCTTTGTTTATGAACCTTAGTCACACCTCCCTGCATGTGACTTGCACAGGCTTCCATAAACACTTCCTGTAAAGAGAGCCCTATTTAGGCTTTCTTTATTGCAAGTTCGGTTTAATTAAGATTTTCTTATCCCCTGCTATGTTAATAGCGTGCTAGACCCTGCAAGAGCCTCCTGTATGTGATTAAAGTTCAATTTAGAGATTGAGATACAATTATTTAAGGTAAATTACATCTGTTTGAAAGTGAAACCAGTTTTTTTTTTCATGCAGGCTCTGTCAATCATAGCCAGGGGAGGTGTGGCTAGGACTGCATAAACAGAAACAAAGTGATTTAACTCCTAAATGACAGTGAATTGAGCAGTGAAATTGCAGGGGAATGATATGTACACTAAAACTGCTTTATTTAGCTAAAGTAATTTAGGTGACTATAGTGTTCCTTTACCTTTTGAATCTTGGGAATAGAAATTTTGTATAAGGTGTTTGCTTTTCAAATTGCATTTTTCATTTTACTCCAAAGGGGAAATCGAAACACCAGCAGGGAGGCTGATGGAGCCAACAATGACCTTGATTACACCAAACATGCATAAGTCAGCAGGGAGGTATACTATCAGTATGTATGGGAATTATGGGAGATAGAACATGCATTTTACTCCCGCCTAGCAGTTTGCAGGAGACCCTGTCATATTCTCATCCTCCTCCTGGAGCCTTGGTAGATTTTTATTATTATTTTTTATTTTTTTTGTATCAGTTATATTGAAAGTTATCCTATGCAAAACTGAAAACTTTATTTAGAAAATTATTTTCTAGAGAAATTCTAGCAGTTTGCCATATTTGCTTATAGCAAATGTAAATTATGTTTTGATACCTTTAACAGGACAAAAATTCCTATCACAAAATAACTATAAGCACCCTGACCGTCTATAATGTGGCTATATAGAATGAGTATGGATTTGTGTAATAGCATAGATAATTAGAAGACTCCGGCCATCATGGTTATACACTAGATCTGTTTGTATGACACCGGGCTGATAAAACTTGGCTATTTTGGTGTGCAGGTTCCTTGTTATGTTTATCATCATACCATGCATCTGAGCTGCCTCCATTGGTACAGTCCTGATTTTGGACCTGTACTCTGCTATCCTGGATTATTGATTAAGTGTCCCAGGACTTAGACAAGTGATAACGGGGATCCACAGAACCCCCTCATTAATAATTATGCCAGACATGATTGAGGAGATGGGGATGCTATCATGTAGGCAACCTTTGCATATAGGGAGCCATCAAACTGGGGGCACTAAGCAAATAATAAAATTTTAGAGGGTCTTTAATATGTAACACCAATTCAAAAGGTGGATGGGCAGTCTTAGTTTCACCCACCCAAGAATATGAAACACTCACTCTCTGCATATGGATTAGTGATAAGAAGACATTGAGCAGATCCCTCCTAGTTTTATGGGGTTTCTGGGGTCTCACATGAATCCCTACCTAGCAACAGAAATGAGAGGGACATCAACAGAGAACATACCTGCTTGTTTCATTAATTTCCACACCACCAATAGAATTGCCATGGCCAAATCATGAACTAATTAGTTAATTTAGTTATGTAATTATATGAAATTATTTAAGAACTTCACAATTCACTTCACACATTTCTTGCAAATCCAGTCATGATTAATAACATACACAGTTGGCTGCATGTTCTTCTCTTTCTCCACCTCTCACTAAAATTCTTAATCTATCTCTCTCCTCTTGTATATTTCCATCGCCCTTCAAACATGCAACTGTAACCCCAATTCTAAAGAAGCCTAATCTTGACCCTAACTCCCCATCCAACTATAGTCTTATCTCGCTACTGCCTTTTGCATCCAAGATCCTTGAACGAATTGTGTATGCGAGATTGACAAACTTCCTCGAGTCCAACTCTCTGCTAGACCCGCTTCAGTCTGGTTTCCGCGCTAAGCATTCTGTGGAAACGGCACTGACCAAAGTATCCAATGATCTACTCGCTGCAAAATCTCGTGGTCACTACTCTATCCTAATTCTCCTTGACCTGTCTGCGGCTTTTGACACTGTTGATCATCAACAGCTTCTTCTCATCCTCCGCAATATCGATCTACAAAATATTGCTCTCTCCTGGTGCTCCTCCTACCTCTCCCAGTGCTCTTTCAGTGTTTGTTTCTCTGGCTCTGCTCTGCTTCTTCTCCCCAACTCCTCTCTGTTGGTGTCCCCCAAGGTTCAGTCCTTAGTCCCCTACTGTTCTCCATCTATACTGCCTGCCTTCCAATATCATTTCTATGCAGATGACATGCAAATCTACCTGTCCTCTCCTGATCTCTCCCCGTCCCTCTTGACTAGTGTCTCTGACTGCCTCTCTGCTATTTCTAACCGGATGGCTGCCCACTTCCTTAAACTAAACTTGACCAAAACTGAAATTCTGGTCTTTCCTCCCTCAAGTGTTGTTACTCCTGTGTCTCCCTCCCTCCAAGTCAACGGTGCTACCATCAGCTCAACCACGCAGGCTCGCTGCCTAGGTGTTCTCTTTGACTCTGACCTCTCCTTCAAGCCTCATGTTCAATCTATCGCCAAATCCTCAATCTATGCTACGAATAACCAATGTGTCTTTACATATGATTGTACCATTGTGAATTTGTCATGGTTCTACTGTATTTAACCCCTTAAGGACGCATGACGGAAAATTTCCCGTCATGCCGGTCCTACCCTTTCAAATCTCTACATAATGCTGCTCCCACCTTTCCTGCCTTATACACAAGTATGTCCTGTCTAAGCCCTTACGATCTGCTGAAGACTTGCGTCTATCTTCTGTCCATACTCCCACCTCTGATGCTTGCCTTCAAGATTTCCCGAGGGCTGCACTGTTCCTGTGGAACTCACTTCCCTCCTCTGTTAGATGCTCACCCAGTCTCCGCCCCTTCAAAAAATCGTTAAAAACCCACTTCTTTATAAAAGAGTATCAATTAAACTGTTAATAGCTCCTGACTGATTCCTCTTCTGCAACTCTCACTAGTCTAATACTATCCTTACCTTTTTGTGTCATTTTACCCCACTCCCTCTAGCATATAAGCTCATTGAGCAGGGCCATCAACCCCCTTGTTCCTGTGTGTCCAACATGTCTGGTTACACCTACATGTCTGTTCGTCCACCTATTGTAAAGCACTGCGGAATTTGATGGCGCTATATAAATATAATAATAATAATAATAAAAGTATAAGAGCTGAGTGAATAAATGAGGATAATGATTAAGTTTTAAAATTGCTTCAGAGAATCACACGTGAGCATTAAGTTAAATATTAGCCTTTATTTTCCTGACATTCTTTGTAGTCCACAATACCCTATGTTGTTAGAGTGATTTATTTATATATTGGGAACAGATGTCTTGACCTACTTTGAAATGCTAGACCTGCACTCCTGTGACTTATCATTGTTTAACCGTTAAAGACTCGAACTCTGTGAAGACTATCACAAAAGGAAAGATTTTGACTAAACCTTTCCCTCAAGAGGTTAAAGAACATCTCCCTTTACTATCTTACATTGAGCTAGGAATGACCTGCTGGAACCTCCTTGTGTGATGACTCATATGATGACCTCAAGCAACATGTCAAAACCAATCACAATCTACAATCCCCCAGGCAATATCTGATCTGACTCATTCACTTGTTTATCTGAAAATATATGCGTACACATGTTCACATTTAGAGTTATATCATCACACACCATGTGTTAGTGACATTACAGAATTTATCTTTATTTAATGCATTCAAGCAGCCTTTTGAAGGCAGAACTGGATTAAAACTAAAATTTCACTCTTATTTACTAAATCATCATTTACCATTCGGTCGGACTCCACGCACAATCATTTCTATTGAAAGCTCACATTTTAAATTATTTAACCTGCCGCCTTATTCATGCTTTTGCCATTTACTTGGAATGACTGAAAAATATGACTTTACTGCAGTTTTTCTTCTAAGCATACTTTTGAACAGCCCAGAAAATTAAAGGAACACTATAGTATCACGAATGCAAACATCTATTCCTAACACTATAGTCCTGAAGTGGCTATTTAGGTGACCGGCGCCCCTCTGATCTCAGTAAAAAGGGGATTTAATCACAAAGCAGTAGAAAGTTATTGCCCATGCACAACAAAACATTGTGTGTGCCAATGAGCATCTCCTCATAGAGATGCATTGAATCAATGCATCTCTATGAGGCACGTTCAGCACTTGCATGTAGAGCATGGAGACACTGGCCCAGGAAGCAACCCTACTACACAAGGTATGTTTTATTTCTTCCCCAAAAAAAAAATGCAACTTAAAGGTAGGTGATTTACACCACCACCTACGAGTGCAGCGCTTTGAAAATTGACAAACTTACTCCTTATAGATACAGGGGGTTAGATTTCCTAAGCATGAAATAGAATAAGATAAAACACAATATAGTGAAATATTGTTAATATATAAATAGTTGGTAGGTATTATATGTGTATACAACTCACATGTAATAGAGCCTTTTATAGGTATAGGCTCTAAACAGTGTGGCTTTCGTGCCTTAAATAGGTGGCCACATTAACCTTTTCTTTCAACCAAGTTGGTGAGGATTATCTTCACAGTAAATATATAAAATATAAAAAAGACAGAAGAGAAATCTGGGTGCAATCAGTATTTTCAGGTGAAAAATCACAAAGTGATGAAAATGTGCTCACCTGGTTAAGAGCCTGTTATATAATAGGCTCAAAACTTCAAGCTTGGTGTCATATTTGAGGATGACACTCCCGCAGGCTTTTTAATGTAAACACTGCCTTTTCTTTGAAAACAGTAAACACTGTCTTTTCAGAGAAAAAGCAGTGTTTACATTGCTGTCTATGAACACACTTTGTGGCCGTCACTCAGACAGCCACTAAAGGAGCTTCCTGGGTCAGTGATCTACATTGTGCAGCACTTACATTCAGCATCTCCACACTCTGCATAGAGGGGCTGAACATTCCTAATAGAGATGCATTGATTCAAATTAAATGTAACTTTTTTAATGGGGGCAAGGTGGGGCCGGCCACCTAAAATGTTTTTTTGTTTTTTTTAATACTGTAGTGTCAGGAATACATGTTCATATTCCTAAAACTATAGTGTTCCTTTAAGTTCAAGTTATATTTACCCTGTTTTCCTGAAAAATAAAACATACCTCGAAAATAAGCTATGGTTGCTAGTAATAAAAAAGCCCTACCCCGAAAATAAGCCCTAGTCGCTAGTTCGCTAATCTATGTTCGGGAATTTTTCCTAAAAATAGATTTGCGGAATTCCATTCCCTCGTGAACTAGTCAATGTTCTGGGGAATTCCCCCGAATGTGGACCTGCTTTCTAGCACATGCTTGCTACCGTTTCTCCATGAAATAAGACATCCCTTGAAAATAAACCTTAACGTGTTTTTCAAAGGAACAATTTATATAAGATCCGGTCAAACTGCTAAAATTACTTTGTTTATGCTGCTCTGCTGCTCTAGTCACACCACTCATGTCTCCCAACTGTCCCGCTTTTTGTGGCACTGTTCTGATTTTGGGGAGATTCCTGCTGTCCCGCTCATTAGATGCACTCGCACTGTGCAGCGGGCAGTAGGATCATGCAGGCAGCGCTTCAGCAGTGCTCCCTGCATGGCCTGGTAGATGTCAAGTTGCAGGCCCTGACCTTTTTGTGATGACCCGTTCATTTTGAACAAGATCACTCCTTCTCTTGGTGGGCCCTCCCATTGTGGGTGTCAATAGTGGCACGGCTTGCATCACTGGCAATGCCCCCTTAGGACTCTGCTTACACATCCAGACTTCCAGCAGAAGCATATTAGGAGGTGAGACACAACCCCTGCATGGTAAAAAGAAATCTGATGTTTACACTTTCTTAATTCACATTCTGCTAAATTTAGAATGTCATATCTCCCGCTCTGTTGTTAGCCTGCTAGAGCCTTCTATCTGTGTGATTAAAGTTCAATTAATAGGAGATAAAATTTTATTATTTATTCATGTTGGCCATGCCAATCAGAGCCATGCTAATGTTGCATTAACAGAAACAAAAGTGATTTAACTCCTAAATGGCAGAGAATTGAGTAATGAGACTGCAGACTCATGTTCCATACACAAAAACTGCTTAATTAGGTTTAAGTTCTTTGGTGCTTATAGTGTCCCTCTTTGAGCCATATGAAATGTTGGAAGCTATGATTCTCCGAAAAACAAGTCCCTCCAAAAACACAAATCCATTTTACATGGCTCATATATCAGCATTATTTTACCATTTGCTTATGTTGAAGGAGAAAAAGTGAAAATAGAAATGCCTATTGAATGGCACCCTGCAAAATATAATTCATTATATTTTATTCATTGCTTAAACATCAGCAATTTCCTACCTTCTGTCTGCAATTGCTGTTGTTCCAGGAATTGGTCCAGCTGGAGAAACATTACTGGCTGAGGCTTGGGTGGCTTTCTAAACCGAAAAGGAAATTAGGTAAAAAATAAATACATTTTAAAAAGTATTATTATTTTTAAATTATTTTGATTCTTACACTATAATGCAATGTTGCATTTAATTAATTTAATTAATCAACAAATATGCAAAAGCTATGTCATGTTAGCAGCATTTTAAAATGTTATTTGGCTATGAGTGAGTCTCACAGTCGGTCTAGCAGTTATGCACAATCTGAAAATATGAGGATCTGTGATTTGATTACATTGGGAAAAAGTGCAATCTATTATACCAACTGTCTTGGATCAGCAGAACCGATCCTATCTGAATGTAAAGACCTCCATTTCTCTTGTAAATCAATGATAATGCATCAAACATGCGTGTGCAAAAGCAGAATATAACACGCCACATGCATATGAGTGTTCCAGTATGTTCCATTAATATGTTTTACAATGCCCTGAGAATGTGCACAGGGGACAGACTTGAAACTTGTGTTTAGCGCAATAAGCTGACATAAGCACTAATCATCCGGATTTCATGTTTTTATTGTTAAGTAGGATATAGGCATGACTTTTTTATATTCTATAATTTTGCTGCAGGTGAACCTGAATGTCACACCGCCCGCCGGGTCCACTCCTGCCAGAGAGCGGTATGGCATGTATCGTTGTGGCAGCATTCCCACATCGCAAGGGGAATGCCGCTGAATACTCACCTTATGTCATGGAGCCAGCCAGGTCCTGCCTGAGAGTGAACTGAGACCCAGCGGGCGCATCCTGTTGCGGCAGCATTCCCACGTAGCAATGAGAATGCCGCCGATTACGCACCTCCTTCTGCGATGCCCCCCCGGCCTCACTGACAGATACTCCTCCCGGCCGGGTCTGTAAACATTAGAGACGCAGGCTGCTGCAAGTTAGAACCTTTTAAGGTTCATAATTAACCCTTCTAGTGCCTAACCATTTGGAACGTGTGTGTGACGTCACACACACACGTTCACTGTCACATGCTTCCCTGCAGCCAATCAAGCTATTAAACCTTAAGCTATTTAAACCTTTTTTGTCCATTTCTCTGTGACCTGTCGTGGTTTCCATTCTGGTTATCGGAGAGTGCGTTTCTATTTCTATTCTGATCTCTGTATCCCTTGACTTTTGGCTTACATACCATTTACGCTATATCTGTATTCTTGACCTCAGCCCGTCTTGTATTTTTCCTTTTATATGTTAAATCCGGCCTTTCAAAGGCCCAGTAATACATCTTAGGGTTTTCTTTATTTATTACTTAGTTCTGCGTGTTGGGCACATTAGTGTATCCTGACACTGAAAGACTGACTCTTAAACGCTTACTTCATCTAAAAAATAAAAATGAGATAGGATGTGTTGTAGCTTTGGGAAGTTGTATCCGATTCTGAAGAGCTCAAAAACCCACTTGGAACAATTTTGTATTGTTAAAAGTGGTTTATTATACATCTAATGTTTAAGTTCTTGTAATCATTAAATGAGAATATGAGTACTCATTAAAATACATACCCCTCAAACACCAGCGTTCCATAGAACAGAACACCGGTGAGCATGGTAAAATGGCGTGGGCTAGTGATGCTAATTGCACACCATGCAGACTGGCAACCAAGCATGGGGACCCACAAAGTGCAAACCATACAAAAAGCAATGTCTAATGGTGCAATCAAGCTAAACTTTCTGGGAACAGTTCCCTGGTGCCTTCCCCCAGAAAATGGGACACGAGAAAATAATTTGAGATGGCATGAAAGGACCCTGAAATAAGGACTGTCCCACCAAAATTCGAAACGTTAGGAGACCTGCAAATGTGATTTGGTCAATTCTAAATAAAAAAAAATAATAAACGGTTTGGGGGGGGGGGGGACTAAATATGATATTGGCGCCTAATAACTTCCCAAATCATCCAATCGAGTTGTAAGGTGGTATTATATACATTTGTTTTTTGGGCAAGGAAAGCCCTGCGCATGACTCCCACTTTGATACATTCAAAGAATACACCAGGCAGGGTAAGAATGATTGTATTTATTATTGTGAGTTATTGCTGTATTTATTTAATTACTTTTATATTTCATTCTATTTTATTATTTTACATTACAGATTTTATAAAACTGTAGGCATTAATGGTGAAATCAGATTATAATATTCTAGGAAAGGGCTATTCTCTACACATTTTCTGTTATAATATTAATAATATTATTATTATATTATATGATTGTCTTTTTCCCCTCGTGCAATGTGTTTTTTTTTCTTTTACATGCATTTAGAAGAACATATGAATTTCTAGATCATAGTATAATTAATTCAGAATCAATCATAATCTGCTACCATATGTTGTCCTGGCCACAATTTATACACCTGCACTTAATTAAGGCCATTGTATTAAATACAAGGTCAAAAACAGATGTTATATGCATGTAGCCGTACATTTTTACCTTTTCGTGAATAGTGCTCAAGCTGTGAGTTGAAGTGGAGTTATGTGACGGATGTTGCCATTGAGTGGTTCCCGTTGGTACATGCCAGTAGTAGGTCCCAGATGTGTCACGGATAGTTCTCCATCCTGGAGGAAGATCGGTATCCGCTTCCAATGTCTGGTCACTCCAAAGGTTGTCTTTTTAAGAAAAGATGTAGTGTGTTTTGAATATAGTAACCAAATGGGTTTTTTAAAAACTAATTTACAAAATATGTAAAATAAGCTATCACAGACATAATTTTAAAAATAGTATACAACTTAGAGGAACACTACAGTGTTAGGAATACAAAACTGTATTCCTAACACTGTAGTGTTCCTCTAAGTTGTATACTATAGTGTAGATTTAGTCGCTGTTACTGAGACATGGTATAATGAGAAAAATGACTGGGACATAGCAATACCAGGGTACTCTTTATATAGAAAAGATAGGGAAGGCAAGAAAGGGGGAGGGGTTGCCCTGTATGTGAAGGATAGCATAAAATCTAGCCTAATAAAAGTTAGTGAGACAAACATAGAGTCCGTTTGGGTTACGTTAGAATTTGGTAATCACACAGTAACTCGTGTAGGTGTGATTTATAGGCCCCCAGGACAAATTGAAGAGTTAGATAATCTACTAGTTGAGGAAATAGCTAAAATGACAATGAAGGGGAAGTTATCATCATGGGTGACTTTAATCTTCCTGATGTAAATTGGAAAACAAAATTAGCTACTTGTGCCAGGAGCACACATATTCTAAACTCACTACTGGGATTGTCTCTAAAACAAGTTGTTGAAGAGCCAACTCGTAAAGAGGCCATACTAGATTTAGTATTAACATATGGAGATTTGGTATCAGATATTACTGTAGGTGAAAGTTTAGGATCCAGTGATCATCAGTCAGTGTGGTTTAAAATAAGAACAGTGACTGAGTCACATCACACAAAAACAAAAGTTTTAGACTTTAGAAAAACAGACTTTTCAAAAATTAGAATATGTGTAGAGGAGTCATTATCAGACTGGAGCAATTTAAATGGAGTCCAAGAGAAATGGGATTATTTAAAAGTTGCACTATTGAAGGCAACAGAAAATTGCATTAGGCTTGTCAGTAAAAGCAAAAAATTAAAGAAACCACTGTGGTACTCCGCAGATGTGGCCAAAATAGTTAAAAACAAAAAGTTAGCATTTAGGAATTATAAAAAAACCCAGAGTGAGGAAGACAAAATGATCTATAAGATTAGGCAGAAAGAGGCTAAGCAAGTTATAAGAGCTTCCAAATCACACACAGAAGAGAAAATAGCACAGTCAGTAAAAAAGGGGGACAACAACATTTTTTAGATACATAAATGAGAAAAGAAAAGTAAAACAAGGATTAGTTAGATTAAAAACAAAAGAAGGAAGGTATATAGAAGAGGATAAAGGTCTAGCTGACTGCCTCAATGAATATTTTTGTTCTGTATTTACAGATGAAAATAAAGCAAAGGGACCTCAGTTGAGAAAAAGGATAAATGAGTAATTTATTACACGTGAGTTTACAGAGGAAGAGGTTCTATTTCAACTGTCCAAAAAGTAAAGACAAATAAGTCAATGGGACCTGATGGAATATACCCACAGCTATTAAAAGAGCTTAGTGGTGTACTAGCAAAACCATTAACAGATTTATTTAACCAATCATTGTTAACAGGAGTAGTCCCAGAAGATTGGAAGTTAGCGAATGTTGTGCCCATTTACAAGAAAGGTAATAGGGTGGAGTCGGGCACGTATAGGCCAGTAAGCCTTACTTCAGTAGTGGGGAAAGTGATGGAAACCATGTTAAAGGATAGGATTGTTGAACATCTAAAAACACATGTATTTCAAGATCAGAGACAACATGGGTTTACTTCAGGGAGATCACTAATCTTATTGATTTTTTTGATTGGGTAACTAAAATTATAGATCAGGGTGGTGCAGTAGACATTACTTACCTAGATTTCAGTAATGCTTTTTACACTGTTGCACATAGAAGGCTTATCAATAAACTGCAATCTTTAAGTTTGGATTCCAATATTGTTGAATGGGTAAGGCAGTGGCTGAGTGACAGGCAACAGAGGGTTGTAGTTAATGGAATATATTCGAAGCTTGGACCTGTCACCAGTGGGGTACCTCAGGGATCTGTACTTGGACCCATTCTCTTTAATATTTTTATTAGTGATATTGCAGAAGGTCTTGATGGCAAGGTATGTCTTTTTGCTGATGATACTAAGATATGCAACAGGGTTGATGTTCCAGGAGGGATAAGCCAAATGGCAAATGATTTAGGTAAACTAGAAAAATGGTCAGAATTGTGGCAACTGACATTTAATGTGGATAAGTGTAAGATAATGCATCTTGGACGTAAAAACCCAAGGGCAGAGTACAGAATATTTGATAGAGTCCTAACCTCAACATATGAGGAAAGGGATTTAGGGGTGATTATTTCTGATGACTTAAAGGTAGGCAGACAATGTAATAGAGCAGCAGGAAATGCTAGCAGAATGCTTGGTTGTATAGGGAGAGGTATTAGCAGTAGAAAGAGGGAAGTGCTCATGCCATTGTACAGAACTCTGGTGAGACCTCACTTGGAGTATTGTACACAGTACTGGAGACCGTATCTTCAGAAGGATATTGATACCTTAGAGAGGGTTCAGAGAAGGGCTACTAAACTGGTTCATGGATTGCGGGATAAAACTTACCAGGAAAGGTTAAAGGATCTTAACATGTATAGCTTGGAGGAAAGACGAGACAGGGGGGATATGATAGAAACATTTAAATATATAAAGGGAATCAACACAGTAAAGGAGGAGACTATATTTAAAAGAAGAAAAACTACCACAACAAGAGGACATAGTCTTAAATTAGAGGGACAAAGGTTTAAAAATAATATCAGGAAGTATTACTTTACTGAGAGGGTAGTGGATGCATGGAATAGCCTTCCAGCTGAAGTGGTAGAGGTTAACACTGTAAAGGAGTTTAAGCATGCGTGGGATAGGCATAAGGCTATCCTAAATATAAGATAAGGCCAGGGACTAATGAAAGTATTTAGAAAATTGGGCAGACTAGATGGGCCGAATGGTTCTTATCTGCCGTCACATTCTATGTTTCTATGTTTCTATGGGGACACTGGGCGACTTTGAGACCTGGGAGACATGAGGCACTCCCAGTGTCCCCATGTTTCCCAGCCAGTGTCCCTAGTATCTCAGTGTCCCCATGTCTCCCAGTGTCCATGGTGTCTCTCAGTGTCCGTAGTGTGCCAGTGTCCATAGTGTCTCAGTCTCCCAAAGTCCCCTAGTCTTCCAGTGTCTCAGTGTCCCAATGTCTCCCAGTGTCTCAGTGCCCCTAGTATAAAAGAAAAAATCTCAGGCACTCAGTGTAATAGATTTAAGCAGGTTTATTGGACACTGCAACGTTTCGACCTGTACCCAGGTCTTTATCAAGTCTCCAGTGTCCCCTATATATCACAGTGTCCCCTATGTATCACAGTGTCTCAGTGCCCTATGTCTCCCAGTGTCCCTTTCAGGTCTAAAAGTCACCCAGTGTACCCATGTCTCCAAGTGTCTCAGTGTCCCCAGATCTCCCAGCGTTCCCTAGTATCTCAGTTTCCCCATGTCTCCCAGTGTACCAATGTCTCTCAATGTCCCCTAGTGTCCTAGTGATATGTGGACACTGGGAGACATGGGGACACAGACACTAAGGGACTGGGATACATGCGGACACAGACATGCCCCCTTTTAGGTATGTTCTCCCCTTTCGGCAGTTCTGGTTATGTGATTTGCGTCAGTGGCCCACACTTTTACCCCATGCATAGACTTCCTGCTTTACTGGACACTGCTGTTAGGGGGTATGGATTTACTTAAAAGATGAAAGCATGAAATTAGCATAGGGTATGTGTTTTCTCATAGCTGCACCCAGCACCATCTCTATCAGATACATGACACTTGGTAGGTAGGAATGTTTAAGTGTTTTTGGTTGATAAGATTTTGTAATTAGGCCCATCATAATTGTCAGCACCAGGCCCACTGGGCTCTTAATCTGGCCCTGACTACATCACATACATTTTACCTACAGCAGACATAATACAGGACTAGACTAGGTCCTCGTTGCCTGAGCACGCCGTCTAGTCTATGGCGGTTATGTCAAACTTAAAGGGTACCTGTCATCTCAAATAACTTAACTTAAAGAAAGAAAAGAGATACATTTTATATACATACCATAAAGCGAACATAAAGTGTTGGGGACTTTTAACCAGTTATGGGAAGTAAGTCTATGCTTCCCAAACTGGGGTTTGCAGGAGAGGTCTTACACAAAGTTATAGCCACTGAAACATGATTGATGGTCTCAGTAGGAGACAGATGTAATGGAAATAAATTACAATATGAGCTTTTAATAGAACCATGGGAAGAAACATTTAATTGTATAACATGAATCAAGCCAGATGTTAGAAAACTGCAAACAGATATGTCATCACAGGTTCACTTTTAAAGCATTCAATGAATAAGAATCCACAGGAAACCCCAGAACAGATTGGTTAGTTCAGGTGCAGATTAAAAGTCATTTGATTTGTTTATACCAGCTGAAAGGCATTTGTGCACAAGTCTACTAACAATTGATGAAATTCGTATATCTGATAATGTATACTTATAAATGTACTGAAAATGAATTAATAAAAACTTGTTTGGTGGTAGCATCGCTACATTCATTTAAGTGGCTCTGTCACCGTGTGGGGTCTTTGCATTTCTGACAGTGACATCGCAGCTCATAGTCCAGAGGCTGGGGGGGAGGAGGGAGAGGCAGGAAAAGTGGAGATTTACTTACCTGAATCGTTCCCTTGCAAGCACCATCTTCTTCCTGTCCCTCCTCTTCAGTTCCTGGCATTTCAGCTGCCAGGAGTCGACATTAGAACTGTACTCTCGCACATGTGCGAAAGTACAGCATTGAGGTCTGTGGAGGATCTCGCAACACCAAAGGATTCTCTATAGAAAAACTTAAAGGGACATTCCTATCACCATAACAACTTCATCTAAATAAAGTTGTTAATATGCCAGGGGGGGGGCGTGGCCAGGACACGAAGCGAGCTGGACGTGCTTGAGTAGAGCTCCGCTCTGACCACACCGTTTATAGCCCATATGAGCACACTGAACCTAGAGAATTACCCGGCAAAAATGGAAAAACTACCTACTAAGAAATCCCCAAGGAAACCCCAAAGAAGAGACGGGAGTATCCGTGGCCAAACTTTTTGCCACTTCCCGCCAAGGCGCAGCGGGCCCGCAAGATGGCGGCGGCACAGATGTGGAGGCCTCAACCTCGCCAGCGCGACCTGCAACAACTCCTGGAAGAGCACCTCAGGCACCAGACACCACACAAATCTTGTCCAAGCTCACAGAGGTCAAAACCTACCTAGCATGAGAGATTGAGCGCTCCACCCAAGTCCTATGTGGCGAAATACAGTCGATCAGAGATCGCACCACGAGGCTGGAACAACGCCTCGAAACCACCACAGTGGCGCATAATAGAGCCATCGACTATGTGAACTTACTAACTGGAAGGCTGATGGCCGCCGAACTGGCGATAGAGGATATGGCGAACAGGTCTACGACATAGAACGCACCCATAGGGCCCTCCGCACGCAACGGACAGACATGAATATGCCAAGAGATGTGTTGCTCTGCTTCTTGCACTTTCAAACCAAGGAAGCCCTGCTGAAAAAAGGCAGAGATGGTCCGATCATGTTCCAGGGCACAGAACTCTCTTTATATCAAGACCTGGCCCCGGCTACACTTCAGAGGAGACGGGAGTGGAAACCAATAACAGATGCCCTGAGGGAAAGTGATACTCGATATGCTTAGGGATACCCCTTCAAATTATTTGTATTCCAGAATGGCAGAACACACACCCTGCAGCCAGGAGACGACGCAGCAGCCTTCCTAACCATCCTGGAGATCCAGGCCCCAGCACACCTCCCCCCACGACGACCAGCCTGGGAACACTGCAAGGCCTACCATGGGAGTGGCTGTCAGCGGGAGCGTAAGGTACTCTGGGCACTTAGCCGGAGCTGCTCAAAGCTCACACACCAACCACTGCTGGGGGGCTTCCCATTGATTGGGGAGGGGGCGAATAGGGATTCGGGGTAAATTTTGAGACAAGCGCCCCAAGAAAAATGAGCCACCATGGGACTGGAGGCTAACCGCCCCTCTACCACACTTTGTTAAATGGGGCAGCGGAGGTTTGTGCGGGGAGTGGGGAACGGTGCTGGGGACTCGGATAGATTTGCCACATTCAACAGCCCACACAGGCTTAGTAATTGCCCGTAGAACACATAATCACTCATGGGCCTACATCAGGACTTATCCCCGATCAGTTCGGCCTAGCTGCTATAACGTTAACTAGGGGGCTTCCACGAAGTGGAACATTTCACGAGTGTGGTGAAGATACTATCTATCGTGGTGTGCGTAACTCAACGTGCCTTGGTTAAGTGTAGTGATCATAATTTTCGCTCTTGCTAACCATACGCCCCAAGAGCGAAAATTATGATCACTACACTTAACCAAGGCACGTTGAGTTACGCACACCACGAGGTCACTTCCAGGCGCTCACACATGGCTACATTTAGGGACTGGCTGACTGCCATGGAGTCGTTACCCTGACACTCACTCAGAATAGACACGATCTGAGGTTGTTTTCGTTCATATTGTTTATGTATTATAATGTTTACATCCGAGAACGCTTCACCAATGGAAGGGATGGGGCAGTAAAAGCAGCCGGTGGAAGGGGGTGGGCACAAGGGAGAGACGAGGGAGAAAATAATCGGTCAGGTGATCAGGGGATGGGATGTGGGAAGGGGACACTACTCAGATAGGGATGGGAGCTGACAAGATGACAAAAGTGATGCAGCCATCCACCGCTCACATTAAGACCCCCCAGTACACTTGCAGACCCCTCTCCCGACCCATTGACGGCTAACAGAGACCTGACATATGACCCACACAGCACCGACAGGGGAGGCCTAATCAGGGAGTCACAGGGGACCGATACCCAGGATGCACCATTTTCAATCCAACAAGGAAAAACAGACACCAAGGTGACGAAGATTAGTCTCTGTCTCCATTAGTAAGGTTACAAAGGTCATTGATGCGATGATACTTGGAGATTTGTTGGATTGAAAATGGTCAAGTACCAGCTGGGAAGAAAAGTATCCTTGATAGGGTCTCAAGGCAGTGTAAACTGCAGTCATTTGATCCACCACAGTGTTTCAGTGCAATTATTTGTTTTATTTCTGGATATGTCTCATTAATAGAAAGCATGCATGATTGCATTTGCAGGCGGCTGTTTTGGTTTACGTTTCATTAAGGTCAGTGCTAACATGCGTGTTAGAGTCACACCCGGCTTTATGTACTCACAACTCGTCGACCCATTGTTAGGGAGGACGAGGCCGGGAGCTACACCCCGTTTACTTCTGGCGATTAGTAAGACCATAAACTACTCTCACTTCTTTCTCTTTTACGTTATTTCCTTTCTCTTCTTCGATACCCTTCCCCACTTCTACTCATCAGGTTCGGAGGATGGAGTGCGCCATGGGACACGGGCAACGAAGCAGGCCCGACCAGGGGGGTACATGAAGGGTCTGATAATGCAAACACTCCATACCGGGACATGGCTCTGAAAGTGGTATCTATCAACGTTAAAGGCCTGAATGCTCCCAGAAAGAGGCGTTTAATGTTCAAGGACGTGAAAAGGATGGGGGGCGGATGTTGCTTTTCTTCAGGAGACACACATTACGAAAAACACGGCATTCACAGTAAGTGACCGCACCTACTCCACATCACATGAAGCTAGATCACATCGGAAAAGGAACGGGGTAGCCATACTCATACGCAACACATGCCCTGTTAACATCTCCACTATAGACACTGACCCAGAGGGGAGATTTGTCATCCTATGTGGGTCCATACATTCACACACCATCCATATGCTTAACATATATGCTCCTAACGCCCCTGACCGGGACTTCTGGGAGACATTGACAGCCAAGATAAATGCCCTTCCACACGGCATGTTACTTGTGGGAGGTGACTTCAACGCTGTGCTGTGTCCAGCCGCAGACAGGATCTCCAAGACGGGACAACCGAGATATCAGGGAAAAGGACAGCAAGATAAGGCATTACACGAATTTATCCAATCCACGGGCCTAGTAGACATCTGGAGAGTGCAACATCCAGACACAGTCGACTATACATTTTACTCGGCTCCTCACAGGACGTATTCAAGGATTGACTACTTTCTGGTTAATGACATTGGTGTGGCCAGGGTGGTGGACTCGACAATAGGGTCCATCACATGGTCGGACCACACGGATGTTTCAGTAACACTAGGGAACCTATGCACTGCTTCACCGTGGAACTGGAGACTGAGCCCCACTCTGCTAAGGGACCAACAGGCGCAAGAGGCAATTAGGCAGGGGATCCGCGATTACTTCCTAGAGAATACGACGGAACCATATGGGCAGCATATAAAGCAGTAATTCAGGGCACATGCATACAGCCAGCCATTAGAAAAAACAAAAAACAAAAACACAGCGACTGAAACAACTATTGGAATCGCTACATAACATAGAGCAGAAACACAAGATGACACCCACTCCCCACCTTGCCAACGTACTCCGGGACACAAGGAGATCACTTATAGAACTATTACTAGATGACGCGGCCAGGTAGCTCACTTGGTCCAGATGAGCCTACTACGAAAAAGCAAACAAGACATATACTCTATTAGCGGGGGGCTCTAAGGTCAAGACAAACACAATCCCACATAGGAGAAATCAAGCAAAAGGACGGAACCATAAAAAATACCCAAGCCGACGTGGCCCAAATTTTCACGGAGTATTATAGATCGTTATATAACCACACGCCCAAAAATAACGATCAACTGCTAGCGGCAGAGGACAAAATGCACACGTTCTCACGGAACCTGAACCTACCGAAACTATCGAGAGAAGCGACACAACACCTAGATGAAGACATAACCAGCGACAAAATAGACAAGGCCATAGCAGGCCTTAAGAGCCACAAGGCCCCAGGACCCGACAGCTTTGATGGGGGATATTATAAAACGTTCCGGGAAGAACTCTCTCCCAAGTTAGCACAGCTATTCAACAACTTTATGGAGGGTGGCAACCCCAAGAAAGGGATGTCTTTGGCAAACATAATCCTTCTCCCGAAACCAGGTAGGGACCCCATGCTACCAGCAAACTACAGGCCTATCTCCCTGATCAATCATGACATCAAGATAATAGCAAAAGTGTTAGCAGAGCGACTTGAAAACATTGATACACCCAGACCAAGTGGGCTTTATGCCAGGCCGCCAACTATTTGAGAACACCAGAAGGAACATAGACATAATATGGCGACAAAAAATAACCAATTCACCCACCTTAGTAGTATCTATCGACGCTGAGAAGGCGTTCGATAGAGTCGGGTGGCCCTATCTCTTCAAGTACCTAACGTTCATGGGATTGCAAGATAAATACGTTACCTCAATAAAAGCAATGTACAGCAATGTAACCCAAGTAAAAATCGCGGGCACTTGGCCCCAAGTGCAACGGCACGAGGCTGTTCACATTGTCACTAGAACCCCTACTACAGGCCATACAGAAACACCCTTGCATCCGGGGAGTCAAGGTGGGAGACCAGGAATTTCTAGTTTCTGCATACGCGGATGATATCCTCCTGACGATCACGGAGCCAAAGGAATCAATGGACGCTCTCGCTGAGGTCCTTACATAATACAGAACCTTCTCAGGGTATAAAGCTAACCTGGAAAAATCTAGTGCCCTTCCTGTGGGAATGTCTGCGGCTGACACGGCGGCAGTGCGAGCGGCCCACAGCAAGCCTCTACCACAGGGACACATCAAGTACCTAGGGATTTACTTGCCAGATGACCCGGCTAAACTATATCACCTAAACTACACCCCACTAATAAGGACACTCACAACAGACATGGAAAAATGGCGTGATAAGCCCATCTCGTGGATAGGATGCGTACACTCGGTAAAAATGAATATATTGCCCCGTGTGTTGTTCCTTTTCCAGGCCCTACCCATCAAAATCACTAAATCCGACCTAGCACCATTACAACAAGCAATAGGAAAATTTATATGGAAAAATAGAAGGCATAGGATTTCGAGAAATATCCTATTTAGACAAAAACAAAGAGGGGGTCTGGGCCTGCCACACTTATATTTTTATTACCTAGCAGCCCAACTCTCACAGGTGGCGATGTGGCACGGCCCTCTAGAAGAAAGGAGATGGGTAGACCTTGAGTCCCTCTTGACAGGAGTAGACCTACTCCAATTCTACATGTGGGTGCCAAAAGAGGATAGGCCCATCCTACGCACAACCTGCCCGGCGATTCTTAATTCCCTGAAAATATGGGATGCCACAGCCCACAAATTTAAACTAGTTTCCGTCCCATCACCGCTCCCCTCACTGTTCAGAAACAGAGCCGTCCCCCCCCCGGAATGACAGCAAGAGACTTCGCTAACCTTGAAAAAGCGTGCCTCCAAAGGATATGCCATATGTATAAGAATAACATGTTAGTTACATTCGATCACCAGCAACAGACGACACACCTCACCCTAGCTGGCTTCTTCCGATACAAACAACTTAAAGACTATATGAAACATCCACATCTACAACAAGCAGCAACAGGGCACATGTCTTTCTTTGAAAGAATGTGCCTAAACGAATGCATACCACCGGGTCTTATTTCAAAGCTATATGCACACATTAGCTCAGAAACTGATGAATGGGGCACACTCACCTACACGGACAAGTGGGAGAGGGAACTAGAGGGGGAGATACTGGAGGGAGTAGAATGGAGGGAGATCTGGGAGGCGAACACTTCAGTATCCATATGTGTGTCTTTCCAAGAACAAGCATATAAGACACTGTTCAGGTGGTACACTACACCAGTTAAATTGCGTCAAATGGGGAAAACTCCTACCGACGACTGCTGGAGGGGATGTGGCCTTAAAGGCACATACATTCATATGTGGTGGGAATGCCCTCAGGTTCAAATCTTCTGGAAGGAGATACATATCTTGATATTGCACATATTTCATAGAGCACCAGATTAAAGCCCATGGACATACTTACTTAACAAACCCCTAGAGGACTGGACAAAAAGAGAGCAAAAATTAATACACAAGATGACGTTAGCGGCCAGGAGAGCGCTAGCCCAAACGTGGCTGAAAGTAGAAGTACCCCCTGTGAGAACCGTTCTGTCAAACATAAAAGATGTATACCTTATGGACAGCTTAACAGCAAGGTTTCGAGGGTCTATGTCACGATTTGAGGAAATGTGGGAACCCTGGACTTCTAGCGATCTAACCTAAGTGAGCATAAGCACAGATAGGGCGCGACCGACCTCACCCCAACCCACTACAAGATGGCCCCCGATAGGGTCCCAATTAACATGGGATCATACAAAACATACACCATGGCGCCGACATTCTCCAGCCTGATGAACCCCCTCTAATACTTTTATCTCTCTCTTACTTCCTCCCCTTTTCTTTCTATCTCTCTCTGTTGCTTGTCCGGTGGGTAACTTGGCCCGATAGCCAATTCCGAAAGTTATGAATAAATATAGGGCGGGACTTATCCCGGCTTAGCGGCAACCTTAGAGGAGACAGGTGCCATGAGCCCTACCAGAAAAGTAGACGGATACATAGGCCTCCATAAGCACTGTTGAAAAGTTTGGTTACTTAGTCTACGAACTATCATTACAGTTGTATATTACATCATATAAAAATATAAAAATAAAAAGCAAAACGAAGGTATCTTGACAAACCGGAACACTAAGCCACACGTGACTGAGATGGACCGAAATCTGACTGTAATAACATAACTTTGGCAATGTTTACTGTTCACTATGTATATGTCAAGTGCTTCATTCACAAAGCATTTTTAAAAAATATATACCAGGAGACCCCTGGGGGACTCTTACCTTAAGGAGTTAAACTGTTCTCAATAGCTAAACCCCAAAGTGTGCCTCCAGCGCCAATATGCAGGTCCCGCAGGCTGCATCTAGAATCTGAATCTCAGTTTCAGGAAGCGTGGAGTGCTGTGGGGCAGGAGCACTGCTGATTGGCTTACAGCAGTCAGCTGATGCTCTAAGCCAATCAGTAGCTCCCCATTGATTAAAAAAAAAAAAAAAAAAAGGTATGTGTATATTTCTGTGAGTGAATTTTCAAGTATAGTGAATGGCTGCCACTGTTCAAACAAATGCAGGGTAAACATTTTTTATAAATGATTATGGTTAACAGGAGGTTGAGGTTAGAGAGGGGTTAATGTCAGAGTTAAATTACACATGTCTCCTGTCTGTCTCTTATGATTGGTAACAGAGCTGGAATAGCTGTTATACAGTGTGCATCACTCAATGCTGCTCCTTCTGCTCCTGCAAGACATTTCTTGTGTGAGAGGCTTAGTGGACAGAATGTGAAGTGTCCCTTCCACTTCATTTCCAGCCTCACACATAGATACTGGAGGAGCTTGAGAAACTGAGTTGTGCACCCTCCAAAACTGTTCCTGCAGCTCTGCTCTTGCGCATATACAGTTGTGCCCAAAAGTTTGCATACCCTTGGAGAATTGAATATATATGTACTATTTTTAAAGAAAAAACATGAGTGAGCAGGCAAAACACATTTCTTTTATTTCTTATGGGATTCATAATTAACTGTAGGTTATACAAGAATGGCACAATTATAAAACAAAATATGGCAACAAATAAAAAAATGAAATGACCCCTGTTCAAAATGCTGCATGCTCGTGTTCTTAATACTGTGTATTACCCCCTCTAGCACCAATGAGAGCATGCAGTCTTTTGTAATAGTTGTCTGTGAGGTCTCTAATTCGTAAAGGTGGTTTAGCTGCCCATTCGTCTTGGAAAAATGCCTCCAGGTCATGCAAAGTCTTTGGTCGTTTGAGATCTCCCCAGAGTGGCTCAATGAAATTAAGGTCAGGAGATTGTGATGGCCAATCAAGAACCTTCACCTTTTTCTGCTGTAATCACTGGATGGTCCACTTGGCCTTGTGTATAGGGTCATTGTCATGATGGAAAGACCAAGAGCATCCCATGCACAGCCTTCATGCAAAGAATGTAAATTGTCTGCGAGTATTTTCTGATAACATACTGCATTCATCTTGCCATCAATTTTCACAAGGTTCCCCATGCCTTTAGAGCTCTCCCCTCCCCAAAACATCCACCACCATAGTGGGGATGGTATTCGTTTTAGTGGTTCACGCCTCTCCAAACATAGCTCTATGTTGGTCTTGTCACTCCAATTTACAGTGTGCCAGAAGCCGTGAGGCATGTCAAGTTGTTTTCGAGCATATTGTAACCAGGCTTTTTTGTGACATTGGCGCAATAAAGGCTTCTTTCTGACAACTCAACAATGCAGCTAATTATTGTTCAAGTATCGTCGTATTGTGCTCCTTGAAACAACCATACCGTCTATTTCCAGAGCAGCCAGTATTTATCCTGAGGTTACCTGTGAGTTTTTGTATGTATGTATGCCGAACAATACTTCTGACAGCTGTGGCTGAAATCTTTCTTGGTGTCAAACTTGGTGGTCCAATATTTTTACTGTTTTTATTTAAGATACTGCACTATATTGCTCTCGATTTCTTTCTATTTCTATATTATCGGGGGATACAGGGCTTATCCAGGGCCGGTGCAAGGATTTCTGCCGCCCTAGGCCAAGATCCATTTTGCCGCCCCCTCGTATCACTAACTCACTTACAGATACACACACTCACTGACAGATACACAGACACACACACACACAGACACTTACTGACAAACATACACTCACTCACTGACAGACACACACACACTCACTGACAGACACAGACACTCACTGACATACATACCCACTCATTGACAGACAGACACACACAAACATACACTCACTCACTGACAGACACAGACACTCACTGACAGACAGACAGACACACACAGACACTCACTGACATACATACACTCACTCACTGACAGATACACACACACATACACACACACACACACTCACTTACTGACAGATACACACACACATACACACACACTCACTTACTGACACACACACACATTCACTGACATATACTCACTCATTTACAGACACATACAGACACACAAACACACACTTACTGACAAACATACACTCACTCACTGACAGACACAGACACTCCCTCACTGACAGACACAGACACTTACTGACATACATACTCACTCATTGATAGACAGACACACACAAACATACACTCACTCACTGACAGACAGACAGACATACACAAAGACAGACAGACACTTACTGACAGACAGACACACAGACACTCACTGGTACACATACACTCACTGACAGACACACACACACAGACACTTACTGACATTTTGCCGCCCCCTCGTATCACTAACTCACAGATACACACACTCACTGACAGATACACAGACACACACACACAGACACTTACTGACAAACATACACTCACTCACTGACAGACACACACACACTCACTGACAGACACAGACACTCACTGACATACATACTCACTCATTGACAGACAGACACACACAAACATACACTCACTCACTGACAGACACAGACACTCACTGACAGACAGACATACACACAGACAGTCACTTACTGACAGACATACACTAACTGACAGACACACACAGACACTCACTGACATACATACACTCAATCACTGACAGATACACACACACACACATACACACACACACTCATTTACTGACAGACAGACACACACACACACACACACTCACTGACATATACTCACTCATTTACAGACACATACAGACACACAAACACACACACACACTTACTGACAAACATACACTCACTCACTGACAGACACAGACACTCCCTCACTGACAGACACAGACACTTACTGACATACATACTCACTCATTGATAGACAGACACACACAAACATACACTCACTCACTGACAGACACATACACTCACTGACTGACAGACAGACAGACATACACAAAGACAGACAGACACTTACTGACAGACAGACACAAAGACACTCACTGGTACACATACACTCACTCACTGACAGACACACACACACTTACTGACAGACAGACATACACTCACTTACTAACAGGCAAACACTCACTGACATATACTCACTCACTGACAGACACACACAGACACACAAACACACACACACACTCACAGACACACAAACACACAGATACTCTCACTGACAGACACACACTTACTGACAGACATACACACTTACTAACAGACTTTCACTCACTGACACACACACACACACACACACACAGACACTCACTGGCATACATACACTCACTCACTGACAGACACACACAGACACTAACAGACAGACAGACACTCACATACACACAGATACTCACTGACAGACACACTTAACCCCTTAAGGACACATGACATGTGTGACATGTCATGATTCCCTTTTATTCCAGAAGTTTGTTCCTAAAGGGGTTAATGACAGACAGACAGACACACACACTTACTGACAGACTTTCACTCACTGACACACAAACACACTTACTGACAGACAGACAGACACACACACACACACACACACAGACACTCACTGACACAGACACTCACTGACATACATACACTAACTTACTGACAGACACTTACTGACATACATACACTCACACACACACACACAGACACTCACTGACATACATACACTCACTGACAGAAACACAGACACCTACTGACAGACAGACATACACTCACTTACTAACAGACACACAAACACACACTCACTGACAGACACACACACACAGACACTCCCTGACAAACACACACACAGGAAGACACTCACTGACACACTCAAACACTCACCTCCCTGCTGGGGTGCAGTGTGGAGCAGCTCCTCACTCTTCCAGTGCGCCGTTTAGTATGCCGGGGCCAGAATGACGTCATATTCCGGCTCCCAGCATTAAAGAGGGCACGAGGGGGAGGAGTGAGAGGCTCCCTCACCACCTTCCTGCTCTTATCTCCCACTCCTCCAGGCACCGGCGTTTTTTGGCAGAGAAGGCACCTGCCATCAAGGTAAGCAGGTGCTTGCTCTGCCTTACTTAATACCAGGACCGGACTGGCCCACTGGGATACCGGGAAATTTCCCGGTGGGCCGTCGGCACCTGGGGCCTGGCAGACACCTGGGTCTGCTGGCGGCCGCTGGGGAGGTCTTCTGGCAGTCGCTGGGGGAGCTGCGCTGGCTCTGCTCTCCCGCCCTCGCGCGCTGCTGAATGAGACCGGCGCCGGAATATGACGTCATATGGGTCTCATTCAGCAGCGCGCGAGGGCGGGAGAGCAGAGCCAGCGCAGCTCCCCCAGCGGCCGCTAGTACAAGTCCCCCAGCTGCCGCCAGCAGACCTCCCCAGCGGCCTCCAGTACAAGTCCCCCAGCAGACCTCCCCAGCGGCCTCCAGAAGACCTCCCCCTGGCAGGTATTAGTAATGTGTCAGTATGAGTTTGTCTGTCTGTTATGGTGTGTGTGTCTGTCTGTCTGTGTCATGGTGTCTGTATGGTGTGTGTCTGTCTGGTGTGTGTGTGTGTGTGTCATGGTGTCTGTCTGTATGGTGTGTGTGTGTCTGTCCATCATGGGGTGTGTGTCTGTCCATCATGGGGTGTGTGTCTGTCTGTCCGTCATTGGGTGTGTGTCTGTCTGTCCGTCATGGGGTGTGTGTCTGTCCGTCATGGGGTGTGTGTCTGTCCGTCATGGGGTGTGTGTCTGTCTGTGTCATGGTGTGTGTGTCTGCCTCTGTCATGGTGTGTGTGTCTGCCTCTGTAATGGTGTGTGTGTCCGTCTGTGTCATGGTGTGTGTGCCTGTCTGTGTTATGGTATGTGTGCCTGTCTGTGTCATGGTGTGTGTGTTGGTCTGTCTGTGTCATGGTCTGTCATGGGGTGTGTATCTGTCATGGGGTGTGTGTCCGTCTGTCCGTCATGGGGTGTGTCTGTCTGTCTGTCCGTCATGGGGTGTGTGTGTGTCTGTCCGTCATGGGGTGTGTGTCTGTCTGTGTCATGGTGTGTGTGTCTGTATGTGTCATGGTGTGTGTGCCTATCTGTGTCATGGTGTGTGTGCCTGTCTGTGTCATGGTATGTGTGTCTGTCTGTGTCATGGTGTGTGTGTGTGTGGGTCTGTCTGTGTCATGGTCTGTCATGGGGTGTGTATCTGTCATGGGGTGTGTATCTGTCATGGGGTGTGTATCTGTCATGGTATATGTGTGTTTCTGTGTCTGTCACAGTCTGAGTGACTGTCACTAGCAGTGTCACTTTGAAGCAATGTAAACACTGCCTTTTCTCTGAAAAGTCAGTGTTAATGTTGAAAAGCCTGTAGGGACATGCTATAGACACCAGTACCACTACATTAAGCTGTGTGTGTGCATCTGCTAGTGAGTGAGCTTGCTTGCATGCATGTGCCTGCTAGTGAGTGAGCTTGTGTTTTTATGTCAATGAAATGATTTATATCAGTGAGATTGTTTGTCTATGAGGCTGTATATCAATGAGCTTGTGTGTGTCATTGAGATGTCAGTGAAATTGCCTGTGTCTGCATGTGAGTATGCTTACTGTATAATTAAACGTTTTACCCTGAAAGGACCAATATTTTATATTAGAAAAAGCAATATATATATATATATATATATATATATATATTACTCAATCATCTGTCATGGCAAGACATAGCCTTACATATTACACGCGACAATATATGGCGCAGTGACTTATGGGGCTGGCACAAAAAAAATTTCCATGCTGCTTTCTATCCCCAGTCTGGCCCTGCCTAATACAGGTTCGGGGGCGCCCTGAGGTGGCCAGATGGCCACCTCCTGGGCCCCCTGTGACACCTCTCCTCTCGGCGCCCCCACCTACGGGCGCCTTGAGGATCGGCCCAGCGCTGGGGGCGGCTCAAGAGCTGCTCTCTCAGTGCTGCGGCCCCATACAGGGGGAGCCCACCAGGAAACATCCGAGTGGGCGCCCCCAGCAGGCCAGAGCACTAGGCAAATGCCTAGTTCACCTAACGGTGGCGCTGGCCTGGGCTTATCTCCAGAATAGGTTTTGCTGCTGACAAAAGGGCACAGTCTTCAAAGCCAAAACTAGTTTGCACTACATTTAATATAGACAACTATTGTGTTTTTTTTGTGTTGCACTAAGGGTTACGTATTATAGTAGATTTTTGGTGCTGCCCTCTCAAGCTAGTGTTTTGTGTGTTGTGTACATTACCTAAACACTGAGGAAAGTTTCTTTTTTTTTTTTCTTTTTTTTTACTTATATTGCTTTTTTGCTTTTTTTCTGATAAATATAATAAATTGACATGGTGTATGTCTTAATACCTATAGAAAGCTATGTATGGGAATAATCAAATGCAAGGCGTACCCCTTTTAATTGTATAGCGAAATACATAAGAATAGTAAAATTACACAGTACATGCAATTATATCAAAGGGAGTAACATAAGCCCAGCACATGGTTCCTATAGAGCATTTATAGCCACGGTGTTCAAAAATATATTGCATGTGACCTCCATCTATTCAAGTATAGGTGTAAAAATATATATTTATACACACTTCATCTGCTCTTAGACATACAGAAAATGACAGATTAAAATAAGCCATTGCATGGTGATGGATAGGGGAAAGTGGCATATGTAAGACAATTGTATGTATTGAATTCATACCGAAAGAGTGTGACATCTTAAATAACCAGCTATGCCTTAATTGGCAGATACAGTAAGGTGTCTGACACAATAATTGCAATGGTGCATGCCTCATATAGATTGCAAGTGTTATCAGGGCCGGTGCAAAGATTTTTGGGTACATAGGCGAAGATGTATCTTTCCACCCCCCCCAAAATAACATCTTCACCTATGTGCCTCTTAACCAGCCCCTCTCCCCATCCATTAGTGGTCCCCTCCCTTCCCTGTCCCTTAGTGTTCTTCTAAGCTCTCCCCTCTTTTTCCTGTCCCTTGGTGTTTCTCTCCCCTCCCCTCCCTATCCCTTGGTGCACCCCCCCACCCCTTTAGTGGTCGCACTCCCCTTCCTGGTGTGCCTCCTACCTCTCTTGTAGAGTTGCCGAGTGGAGGATATCCCCTACAGGAGCTTCAATTTTCTGTACCTGGCCAGACTGACAGGGAGTGCTCTCTCAGTGAGCACCTCCGGTCAGTCTGGCCGGGTACAGGAAACAGAAGCTCCTGTACTGCGCTCCGCTACGCTACACTCAGTGGTGTATACACACTGACAGTCACACACACTCAATGACAAACACACAGACTCACTAATCTGACACACACTCATTCATTGACAGACACACTGATACTCACACACAGACTCAATGACAAAGATACTCTCACTGATTTGACAGACACTCACAAACACACACTGACAGACACACATACACTGCCACACTCATACACTCACATGCAGTACTCATACAAGCACTCACAGACACACACACACACACACACATACTCACTACACTCACTCACAGACACACATACTCATGCACACAGTCACTCACAGGCACACAGTCACTCAGGCACACATACACTCACACACAGACACACATACACACACACAGACACACAGACACTCACACACAGACACACACTCAATCACAGACAGTCACTCACAGACACACAGTCACTCAGGCACACATACACTCACACACAGACACACACAGACACACACACAGACACACACTCAATCACAGACAGTCACTCACAGGCACACAGTCACTCAGGCACACATACACTCACACACAGACACACACACAGTCACACACAGACACTCACACACAGACACACACTCAATCACAGACAGTCACTCACAGACACACAGTCACTCAGGCACACATACACTCACACACAGACACACACTCAATCACAGACAGTCACTCACAGACACACATACACACACAGTCACACACAGACACTCACACACAGACAGTCACTCACAGACAAACAGACACGCATACACACACTCACTAATTATTTTAATAAATAAACATTTTCCACCCAGCCTCCCTACCTGGAGAGCTGGTGTGGATGATGAATCATTCCCTTGGGTCCAGTGGGGCTGCTGGGAGGCATGCGGCAGTGCTGTGATCAGACGCGGCGAGGGAGCTCTAACCTCTCCGCTCTGCTCCCTCGCGGCTGCCTTCTGATACCGCGGGAGCCGGAATATGACGTCATATTCCGGCTCCCGCGGCATCAGTAGACAGCGCGCGAGGGAGCAGAGCGGAGAGGTTAGAGCTCCCTCGCTGCGTCTGATCACAGCACTGCCGCACGCCGCGCCGGGGGTCGAGATGGTGGCCTGGCAGGAGGGAGAGCCTGCCGGTCACTGAAATATTGCGCCCCCGAAACCGGTGCGCCCTAAGGCGGCCGCCTGTGCCGCCTTATGGACGCGCCGGCCCTGAGTGTTATGATACAATGCAATGGGTCTGTCTGACATGGATTGAAAGTAACATGTCGAAAAAATCAACTGCACTTTGCACACATTAATCTGTTCCAAAGTGACGTGTTGATATAACAAAAGGAAGCCTTCATCTATGCAAACAGTGACAGTACAAAACCGTACCTGACCTTACATGTATGTATGATGGCATCAGGCTGAAATATGTCATAATTACTTACACTGATCAGCCACAACATTAAAACTACCAACAGCTGTAGTGTATAACATTTATTATATTGATACAATGACACCTACCAAGGGGTGGGTTATATTATGCAGCAAGTGAACAGTCAGTTCTTGAATTTCATGTGTTGGAATCAGGAAAAATGGGCAAGCGAAAACATATGAATGACTTTGACAAAGGACAAGTAGTAATGGCTAGACAACTGGGTCAGAACATCTCCAAAAAAGCAAGTCGTGACTCGTGTGAAATTCACAGAAGAGCTACGGTAGCTAAAATTGCTGAAAAATGATAGAAAGGTGTCAAAACACACAGTGCATCACAGTTTGCTACATATGGTTCTTTCACCGAAAGCGCCTTCAACGGGGATGTGGGCATCAGAAATGGACCATGGAACAATGTAAGAAGGTAACTAGATCTGATAAAGCATGTTTTCTTTTAGATCAGGTGGATGGCCAGGTACGTGTGTGTCGTTTTCCTGGGGAAGAGATGGAAGCAGGCAAGCCGGCAGAGGCAGTGTTATGCTATGTGCAATGTTCTGCTGGGAAACCTCTGGTCCCAGCATTCATGTGAATGTTACTTTGACATGTACCACCTACCTCAAGATTGTTGCCGACCACATACTCCCTTTCATGGCAAAGGTGTTCACTGATGACAGTGGCCTCTTTCAGCAGTATAATGTACCCACACTGCAAAAAATTGTTTAGGAATGGTTTGAGGAATACAACAAAGAGTTCAAGGTTTTGCCTTGGTCTCCAGATTCCCCAGATCGCAATCCAATTGAGCATCTGTAGGATGCGCTGGAACAACACACCGCCTGATCCATGAGGCCAGGGATTGTTATAATGAAATGGTCTAATTAGACTGTAGTTTTATTTGAAAAATATTCATTGATACATGTAATTTATAAATCCACATACTGTCCTACCAAAATATACACAATATTATGTATAATATGCCTGTCCACATTATCTTTAGCACCCTGATATAAGTGGTTGGTGACCCTATGACACAAGTCTAAAGTCAACTGTAAAAAGGTGTAGACCAGTACTTAAAGTGAGAGAGCATCCAAATAAAAGTGGATGGTACTAGGCAGAGGACAAATGATAATATTCCCCTTATGAGAGCATGACATTAGTTTAGATACCATGTAAATACCTTCAGGGTTACTCACTGTGAATTCAAAATTAATTTTGATTCAATGTTAAAAGAGCCAACCTAGAAACTCTCTCAAATCTGAGATTCACTTTGAATTATTTAACCAAGAAATGGCCTCTCTATAAGACAAAATAGATATGGTATTTCAAAATTTATATTACATCTTTATACAGGGAAACATATGATATGGCTAATTTTAAAATAATTTTATATCTTCCAACATTGTTAGTTCTTACAATGGGAAATAGGATGGGCAGGCTGTAATACCACAGGGTTCCTTTCATGAAAGATTTAGCCAAGTCCAGGAAGATATGCTGTCAGCGTGCACTTAGAAACATAGAAACATAGAATGTGAAGGCAGATAAGAACCATTCGGCCCATCTAGTCTGCCCAATTTTCTAAATACTTTCATTAGTCCCTAGTCTTATCTTATAGTTAGGATAGCCTTATGCCTATCCCACGCATGCTTAAACTCCTTTACTGTGTTAACCTCTACCACTTGAGCTGGAAGGCTATTCCATGCATCCACTACCCTCTCAGTAAAGTAATACTTCCTGATATTATTTTTAAACCTTTGTCCCTCTAATTTAAGACTATGTCCTCTTGTTGTGGTAGTTTTTCTTCTTTTAAATATAGTCTCCTCCTTTACTGTGTTGATTCCCTTTATATATTTAAATGTTTCTATCATATCCCACCTGTCTCGTCTTTCCTCCAAGCTATACATGTGAAGATCCTTTAACCTTTCCTGGTAAGTTTTATCCCGCAATCCATTAACCAGTTTAGTAGCCCTTCTCTGAACCCTCTCTAAGGTATCAATATCCTTCTGAAGATACGGTCTCCAGTACTGTGTACAATACTCCAAGTGAGGTCTCACCAGTGTTCTGTACAGTGGCATGAGCACTTCCCTCTTTCTACTGCTAATACCTCTCCCTATACAACCAAGCATTCTGCTAGCATTTCCTGCTGCTCTATTACATTGTCTGCCTACCTTTAAGTCATCAGAAATAATCACCCCTAAATCCCTTTCCTCATATGTTGAGGTTAGGACTCTATCAAATATTCTGTACTCTGCCCTTGGGTTTTTACGTCCAAGATGCATTATCTTGCACTTATCCACATTAAATGTCAGTTGCCACAATTCTGACCATTTTTCTAGTTTACCTAAATCATTTGCCATTTGGCTTATCCCTCCTGGAACATCAACCCTGTTACATATCTTAGTATCATCAGCAAAAAGACATACCTTACCATCAAGACCTTCTGCAATATCACTAATAAAAATATTAAAGAGAATGGGTCCAAGTACAAATCCCTGAGGTACCCCACTGGTGACAAGTCCAAGCTTCGAATATATTCCATTAACTACAACCCTCTGTTGCCTGTCACTCAGCCACTGCCTTACCCATTCAACAATATTGGAATCCAAACTTAAAGATTGCTATTTGTTGATGAGCCTTCTATGTGGAAGAGTGGCAAAAGCCTTACTGAAATCTAGGTAAGCAATGTCTACTGCACCACCCTGATCTATAATTTTAGTTACCCAATCAAAAAAATCAATAAGATTAGTATGGCATGATCTCCCTGAAGTAAACCCATGTTGTCTCTGATCTTGAAATCCATGTGTTTTTAGATGTTCATCAACCTATCCTTTAACATGGTTTCCATCACTTTCCCCACTACTGAAGTAAGGCTTACTGGCCTATAGTTGCCCAACTCATGCAGAGTGCTCCTGAAGATCTCTTTTTGTGGGCTGAATGCCCCAAGAGCATTTGGCCTTTTTACCTTGAAGACAAGCCTTAAAACTGACCTTCAAAGCTATGTGCCACAGGCAGGTTACTCATCCTGTCTCTACTGACATACCTATAATGAAGGCATCTAAAATGCCCAATGATGCCTCTGGAAAAATGTCCATAGTAAACTAAATACCCCTGAGGTTATTTGAGAGGTCAGAGAAGAATCAGTTTCACCCATGCTTACCAACATTTTAAAGAGAAATAAAAAGGGGTAGACCACACCTCCTAGAATGTTTTAGTAATTTAAATTGATATCTTTATTTACTGCTACTGGAGCTGAATAATTTAATTTAAATTGGAATATAGGAACTAGTACAAGATATTGATAAGCCAAGCACAAAAGTATGTTCCTGTAAAACATGTAGTCGTAACTGATACCGTATTGAATATATCTAAAAATATACAAAGGTCAGCCTTCCTCCCCTTGTACTCTCAATCACGGTGACATACTGCAGCTTACTTTTCAAATGCACAGATCCTTGTGTCAGCAACCCACTGCAAGTCTTTGTTCTGTAAATTACATGTAATTAGTGACAGTGAGTGTATTGCTCCTGTAATGATAAGGTGATTGTTAAAATGATATAATTTCAGTGTATTGAATATACAATAAATTAATGTATAAAGTGAAAACTTAATTCTGCAATTGTTAATTCTAGAGAGATAATAAGGTAAGTTTAGCAACATTATCTCTCATATGGCATAGCACTCTTGTTGTTCATAATCATATGCATCTGAAAATGTTTGCATGACCAATGAAATACAGCAACCCTGGACGATCATTTCTGCTTTCTTTGGGCCTCATCAGTGAGGTGTAGCTGTTACCCCTCTAAGCACAGTGAGCACAGGGTCTACGTTTGGGTTACCCCTTAACTTGGAGAGAGACAAGTTAATGCATTGCAACAAAAACAGTTGGACAAAAGCTTAGAGAAAATCAGTAGCATTTCCTTCAGTAAATCCCTGCTCAGGTCTCCAAATAGTTTTTGCTCACTTGTACCATTACAGAGAGAACCTATTCCAAGGTATAGCAGACTGATCCCAAACATAAGGGCAGTCCAGAACCAATATGGCAGCAAGTTCTCTCTGCGCAAGAGATGCAGCAACCTTGGGTGATTGTTTCGGCCTTCTTTGGGCTTCGTCACTGAAGGCAAGCTATTGACTTTTTGTCGATTCTCAGACTTCTCATATTCTCTGTTTCTGCTGCAATGCATTAACTTGTCTCTTCCCAAGTTAAAAGTGCAATCTAGATGTGAACCCCGTGCTCACTGTCCCTAGAGGGATATCAGCTGCACCTCACTGACGAGGTCCCAAAGAAGGCCGAAACAATTGTCCGGGGTTGCTGTATCTCTCATGCAGAGAGAACTTGTGAGCAAACTGTTTCTCTAAGCTTTTGTCCGTTGTCAGAGTTCTCATATTCTGTATCTTTGAATGAAAACTAAACCTGTTAATTGGAACAGTAAGTATTTTTTCCTAATAACGTTTTAAAAATCATCTCACTGTCTAATGGAAATGCTAACAGATTGCAAATTCTCAGAGAACAGGCTGTAAGCTGTCAGATAATGTGCAATCTCTTATTTCTAAAAGCCTGTACAAACATTTGCAATCATGTGTTTTGCACGATTGTGAGTTCATTAATGCTGTAGTAATAAACTTTTCTTAAAACTCCTTTCTTATAGTCTATTTATTCACTATATATTTGTAATGTGGTTAAGATTGTATGTCTTATTCACATATTAATTAATATAGCTTTTTATAAAGGGGCAGTATACCCATTTATGTAATTTGTAATAAAGGCCTAGTAAACATAGGGTTTTACAACATAAACAAGAAATACATTTCAGAAACCTCTCACCGTGTAACAACATTTATATAACATTTTTCAAATCCAGCAGGTAAAGTCACTCTGTGTTGGAACAAAACCATTAGGAAATAATGCAAACCATGATGTGGGTGTAAAAAAAAAACCAAACATTATTTTTACTCTTTTAAAAATGCTATAACTCCTGGGGTTTGACTCATTTCTGTTAGGTACTATACAAAAATCACTGTATTTAAGCAACATGAGTTGCTTGTTGGTTATTGGTTGTTTTAACAATAAGAAATCTCCCCTTGCCCATCCATAAAATATGTAAAAATAAATAAAAATAAAACACCTCTCTATACCTCTGTTGCCTGCAAAGCACTAAAATATGATGATTATTCCCCCACTCTCCCCCCCCCCCCATGTTTACAAAAGATTCCATCACAGTTCTAAGGTCACTGTAAGTCACAATTTACCAAATAGACTAATTAATAATACATTATCAGCATTGAAGTAAAAAACATACATGATCTCAATACTAATTCAATATGACTGCATTGGTAGTTGTTGTTCCACTGGCTGCAATAATCTCACTTGGCTCACCTCTAAGGCTGGGCAGTTGGCAAAGGATTTAAAGGGCTACGCGCAGTGCTCACTTTGACAGTCTGCACACAGGTCAAGTGTCAGTCTGGAGCCACTAATTATGACCCCAGTTGACAGAGGAGGCTCTCAGTTAATCGTGTGAAAGGAGGCACTGTAGAGTGGAAGGAGAGAAAGAGTTGAGAGGACTGTAAAAACATGGGTCCTGTGAGGGGGACTTTACCCAGGAAGATGGAAGGATTTCAGAAAGAAGTGCATTTTTAGTTATTTCTTGAAGGACTGGAGGATAGGTAAAAAAAAAAGAATGGGTAGAGCACTCCACAGAAAGGGTGCAGCTCTTGAGAAGTCCTGTAGAGGACAGGAAAGGTCATTGTTCTAGTAAAATCAATAAGAATGAGTATAATTGGGGATTGCTGTGGAAATCTACTATGGATGGAGTTGATGAGAGCTATCTATTAGTTTTAGTGTCAGTAGCTTGAATTGGATTCGGAAAGATAAGAAAGCCAATGTAAAGACAGAGATGATGAGGTGTGAGAGGACCGGTGGGTGAAATAAATAAGTCTGGCAGCAGCATTCATAACAGATTGATATATGGCTATATGGTTACGAGAAAGGCTAATGATGAACACTGCAGCTTTCAGGTATGGACTGACATTCAGAAGATACCTCACCGGATTTCTTCCATCTTTTTTAATACATATTAACTTATAATAGTGCAAATGTTTAAATTGGACAAAAAATGGCTAGTCTGTTCAACCACTCCTCCCACTAATACCCCCTGACGTCCCCCCCCTTGCCACTTCTAGCTGTAAATTCCTTTATATAACTGTGTATCTTTCTTCCTCAGGCCCAATTTAACTTCCATCCTTGAAACTAAGAATCTTCATTTCTACTCAGCTCTAGTTAGAGATAGTAGAAAGAAAGTTGGTGACTTTTTCAGGAGGATTCGATGAAAAAGAATAGAGGAGGAAGGTAGATGTGAATGTAATCAGCACACAAGTGATATTGGAATCCAATGGAAGTAATAAGGTTTCCAAGAGATGTGTAAAGACAAAAGAAACGGGAACCAAGCATTGGGGGACACCAACTAAAACAGATAGTGGGGAAGAGGTGGTGCCAGAAAATTATAAGTTAAATGAGTATTTAGAGACATAGGAAGAGAAGCAGGATAGGACAGAATGTACAAGATTACAAAGCATTAGAAGAAGGAGCAAGTGGCACCAAAGGCAGCAGAGATGTCGAGGAGAACTAAGAGAGAATAGTGAGCTTTGGAGTTAGCAGTATACAAATAATATCTCACTTTAATAAGGGCTGTTTCAGTAGAATGAAGAGAGCAGAAACCAGTTTGATGAGGGTCACAAGCCACTCTACAAGCTTAGAGGTGAATGGAAAAAGAAATATGGGACAGGAGTTACAGGGAGAATTTGAATTCTTAGTGCTTCTTCAGGATAGGACAGAAAACAAAAATACTTGCAAAAAAAAAGTAAAACATATACTACAGCTATATGTACCTATATCTTTAGGGGATGCATTCAGGTTCTATCTTTGCAGAAGAAAGTTAATTAGCTGGATTGTCGGATATTCTTCATATGGAAGAAAAAAACACCTCAATCCAAATATCGGTATGAATTGCCTTTACCTGCGTAGCAGCTCTGTGAAAGGTTTCTAAAGCATCTTGAGGACTCGATATGCACACCTCCCTCTTATCTGAAACAATTCAATATAGCAATGGTCTGCCATCGACCTCTGATGAATTGTTATTGCTCACTGTAAATCACCTACAGCATCAGACCATACAGGTATGCAGGGGTCACCTTGTTCAATTTAAGTAAATTGAAAAAAATGCCATACTTGACTCTTATCATGATTAAAATGGAAATCATGGGTCTGCATATATTTCCTGTGGTAAAAAAAAAGAGGTGGTAAAAAAAAAAAGAGGAATTAATAATATGAAAGTAGCCCCCCAGTAAGGTCAAAATGATGAGGATGTGATCACGGTGTGAAACTGAATGAACATCCATAGATACAGTTACCACACAGGAGCATGTCTTCATGTGTGGAGGAGAACAAACCGAAGTCTGTCATTGATTATTATTGGACTCCAGGTTTTAAAGACCCATCAATGACAGCACTATATTCTATACATTACAATATAGAATTCTACCTGCACTATACAGCACAGGTTCCACCTGTTTCCGAAGGAACTAACAGATATTAGGCTGGTTGGGACAAGACTAAGGAAAATATAAAGCATGCAAGATCATGTTGTATTAGCACTATTCAGGTCTTAGCGGGATCAAAAACTATGCACCTTTGTAATCCTTAGTAACTGGAGACACCACATTATCCCAGAATATCATTCCACCCAACCAAACAACAAAACAAGGAAAATGATTTACCAGTCTACCAACGCCACAGATGTAACTAGATAAGCAAGCAACTGTGATGGGCAAAATGCAAACGGAATAATACAAATATTCATGATCTAGTCAACTTTGTATCTAAGAATGGTGCGCTGGAAACCTGATGATATCAACCAATCCATTGCTTCCCCATAGGGAAGCATTGGGAGTCTAGTGCACATGCACAGCAAACACTACATTGTGGCAATCAGTATCTCCTTAAAGAGATGTATTGACTTGAAAGCATTGAGTTTCTTTCAATCTTTGCATGACCGAACCAATGACAGCACCTATAGGTGGCATTAGGCAGCAGTGCAAGCACTGCCTATTCTCATAAAAGGCAGAGTTTACACTACTCAGCATGCAGGGACAGGCTTTATTCAACTGTAGTGGTTCTGGTGCTTATAGAGTACCTTTAAAACTCAGATAACAGTCATTTGCACAATGCAAGTTTTATGGAACTGGGATGTAGTGGAATCTTGGCAAGAATCTCATTGTAAAAGTAGGCAGATGTGTGTCAGCAGACACTTCATATTAACAGCCTTCTTCTTCTACAGATTGAGCCCTTAGTTACTGCAATAATGTTGTTAATGACAGTAAAACCAATTGCTCTTGGCTAAAGGATGGAAACATTGATAGAGATTGGAATCTGGCAGAACTTGTAGCCAAGAACAAGCCAGAACAGCAAATTATAACATTCTCGTAGTTAGAAAAAAAATCATTTTAAAACTTTTATTCAAGAATATTAAAGAGCTTGGAAAGTTTATCCAACAATATTAAATCGAGGCCTTGGTCAGCAGTTTGTAACAATGGCTTCAAATTTATATTGTTGAATAAGCTTTCCAATTGATTTAATATTTTTGGATAAACATTTTAGATTATTAAATATCATGAAAAATATTATCGTTTTTTAATTTTTTTTCATATATTAATATATTCTTTACATATGATTTTTTTGTTGTTGATGTTTTAACATGTTGAAAAAAATTATTGAAAAAGTCTATCCATAAATATTAAATTATTTGAAAAACATATCCAAAAATATAACAGGTAATGCTCACAGACAAAATGATCTTGGCAGTCCTAGACTGTTCCTGCAATCCCATTTTGTTGCCTATCGCGTACTCAGGAACAGGCAGTCCAGCAACTAATATAACATGAACTGGAATACACAATGCTCATATCCAGGAAAAGGCTGGTTCAGCTGTTTCTAATATAGACAGTAATAGTCACTGCTCAGTCAGAACAAGTATGATCAACAACTGAAAGGACAGGACTGGCATAAAGCAAACAGATGCCAACTGCACTGGAGCAAGTCAACTTCTGAAGCTATCTTCCCAATGAACAGGCACAACGCTGTACACAGCTAGACAGGCTGAGAGCAAAATAAGAAGATAATTGTGGAAATACCAGAATAATGGACTTTTAGGCCTCAATAAGCTTTCCAAATAGTTTAATTTTTTTTGATAAATGTTTAAAATTTTACATATTAAAGTATAAAAAAAGTAATATATCATAAAAAAATCACTATATAAAAAAATAACGCAATATTAAAAAAAGATATTTTTCATAATATTAATTCATTTGAAAAGCTTGTCTAAAAATATTAAATCGAGGTCCTTGCGTCTTTGCATAATTATATTAATGCATTTCACTTGTAGTTTATCAAAATAGTAACATTCATAGGGGTTAGAAAAAAATAGAACCCTGCATCTTTATTATACCCTTTTCTAAAATAAGCATAACATTTGGTTTAAGTCAAATTATAGATTTTCTAATATAAAGTAACAATTTATATGATTTTAGCACAACACTTTGAGGAGGGTATAAATCTCCCCTGTGTTGCTGACAGGCCGGCTGTGTAGAGGATTTAATCAAGAAAATGTAGGCTATTAGTTGCAGGATTATAGTCAATATACAGAGTGTTTCAGGGTTTAGTACTGCACTTGCGTGCTAGAGCGCACGTTTCCAGGGGTAAGCTGATTGGTGACTCCAAAAAAAAAATAAAAAAAAAAATAAAAAGATACTCAGCTGCAAAGAAAGAACTGTGTTTTACTGTAAAAACAAATTTAACCCATGTACATCTTAACAATTCACGGTACCAAACTGGCTCTACCAGTATTGGCCAGTGGATAGGAGACATATTGAAAAAGGCACAGAGAGAAAAAGAAAACAACTGTTAAACTAAATATAACCAATGAAATGAAAATACAGGCTTGTATAGAATATGTTGTTATTTCCCAATTTGACAATTAATCATAGAAAACATAACATGGTATAGAGTAATGGATCTTTCCAGCCAGCAGCTCTGTGATGGATACATTTGGTGGCACCCCTAATGTATTCATCTCATCCCCTTTCCTTTAGATGGGAAGGTCTTCGTCATGTATTCATCAGGCACCACAATGCCTAGTGGCCTGGCTAGAGGGAGTTTTCCCTGCTCCCCAACACTGCACTTGACGTAACGATGGAAGATGCTAGATATGATATCATACCTGGTGATTTTATTTATTATTATTACTGCAGTGCAGAACGCAAGGTAAGAAGGTTATTCTCACAGTGGCCACTGTCAGGGGTGTGTGATGTGTGATGTGTGCTGCAGAGAGGGGGTAGGAAACATGTGTTGTTCAGAAAACTCTGTAACCAACTCACAACCACGATGTGACCAGGCTGGCTGCCCACAGGATTTTTTTATAGATTGTCCATTGGTGAGTGCCCACTGCAGCACTGTGACTTCCTTCTCAGCCTTAGAATTCTACAATGATGGCAGCAGTATAGCGATGAGAGTGTGGATTTTACTTTATGTCATGTCCCTTCCTTTTTCCACTAAAAGAAAGAACAGTTCTGCCCTAGGCACTCATCGCTATGCCATGACAGACTATGCAACAGAAACTCCACCTTCAGACCATACCAGAGAGACAGCTCGCATGTACACAGTGTGACTTGGGGAAAAATAAGCTGGTTGACAGCAGCTGTGACATGTACAATACTGCTTGTGATCTTGTAAGCTCTTTTAATCAATACAGAATACTATAAATTATAAACTGCTACAGAATAATTTTCTGCTACATAAATGCCAATAATAATAATTAATAATAATAAATGTGACGCTGCGTATGTCAACCTTTCTCATGTTCACTCCCAGCACAACAGCCGACTGAGAAGATCCCATAAGTATGAGACATGGAGTAACTGTATGAAAGCTGGCACACCTCTTGATGCATGGTGCATTGCAATGATGCAGAACACAGCATTAATTAGCCTGTACTAGACAAAATATCTTAAAGGAACACTATAAGCACCAAAACAACTTTAGCTTAATAAAGCAGTTTTGATGTATAGATCAAGCCCCCACAGTCTCACTGCTTAGTTCTCGGCTATTTAGGAGTTAATTCACTTTGTTTATGCAGTCCTAGTTACACCTCCCTGCATAAAAACTATACCGTCTCCCTGCACATTTCCTGTAAAAAGAGATCTAATGTTCAAACTTCCTTTATTGCACTTTCTGTCTGTATAATTGAGAATTTCATATATTTTGCTCTGTTAATAGTCCTCTGCAGAAGATAAAACTTCTAAAGTAAACATACTCTACTGATTGAATTAAACCATTTTTTTCATGTTGGCTGTGTGAGCTACAGCCAGAGAAAGTGTGGCTAGGGATGCATAAACGGAAACAAATGTGATTGAACTCCTAAGCAGGGCATGCTGCATATACGCAATGATTACATGCTCAGGGTTAAGGGTGATGGGAGTTTGCACCCAGACTACTTCAATGGGCTGAAATGGTCTGGGTGCCTACAGTGTTGTTTTGGTGCTTAGAGTATCCTTTTAAGTAGAAGGAAAAGGAAGGTGCAGGTCATATGAAAAATAAAACTGAGTCATAGATTTTAGGTTGTTACCTGCAAAAATCCCAGCTTGTTTTTATCTATCTTCATTTTTTTTTTTTTTTTTAGAAAATATGAATTGCTTGTAGTGGATTTTATAGCATTTATAATGAAAATGTTTTTTTGGTGATATTGATTGCGTGCCTGCAAGTTTTGATATCACTATTGATACATCATTGCTTTAAACTTTATTACAGCATTAGAAAACATACTACATAACAAGATTTTGTGGTTTGGATTCTTTGCAACTATTTTGTATTTTTACCTAACGTTTCATGTTTTACTTGACTCCAAAAGTGTCCAAAAGATGACTTGTCCTTGGCTAGTCCCCACTCAGGTCTCAAGTTTTAGCTCACTTATGCCATTACCAAGAATAGCTAAGCTACACAGTCATATTTTAGAATGATCTTATCCATTAGGGCAGTCCAGTTTCAAAATGCCAGCAGGTTTCCTTTTGCACAAAAGATGCTGCAACCTTAGACAGTTGTTTTGGCCTTCTTTGGACTTCATCGGTGAAGTATATCTTTGAATCGTTTAGGCAGAATGAGCATGGGTTCCGCATTTGGAATACTATATTGTCTTAGGAAGACCCTAATAATATGCACATAAGCCAAAACAAAGTTTATAAGAACACTGAGAACAGGCATTAATGTAAGAGATTAACTTTCAATTAATCCCTGGTCTTATATTTTTTTAGCTCACTTGTGTCATTATAGAGAGAGTCTATACCAAAAATTTATTTGAGACCTGAGTGGTGACTAATTATTAGCATATATAGCTATCTTATACTGCATATCACAATTTTCCCTATATTCTGATATTGAATACGTAGGATTCTTGTTGTTGACAATATCATTAATTTTGATCATTATTTGCCAGCATGATAGCATTACAACAGTAGCACAGCCTATCTATTTTACCTATGCTGTACTGATAAAAAAGCAGCTGTAGTTGACCAAAATTTCTTTATGTAATAATAAGACATAAAAGAAAGAAATGTTGGTTTCGAAATGAATTTCAAATGTAAGGCAAATATATTCAAACTGAACACAGATTTGGCATGGAGATTTTTTCTAAATCAGATATTTTGGCCTGAATTTTGAAATTCACTGAATTAATCTAGAATTCCTGTCAATTCCCACTTTAGTAAATATCACTGCAAGTGGCATTACATATATAAACCATGAATTCATAATTGTTGAGTTCCGTAGTTGATGTATTTTGAATTTAGAGAGTCTTGTAAAAAGTAAAATAACAGTTTGGACAAATAATAATGTTCTTGGTTCCGTGTTGGTCACTACACTTCTTTTGTGCACTGTTATCCCTATTTTAGCCCACACCACATATTACTAATCTGATTCCTTTTCCTGGAGAATATGTTTGGATGTTTTATATTATAATATTTTATATGATATATTTTGTACATTCGTTCATGGTGTTAACAAGTAGTGGCATCACTTGTTTTGGTGTCACCCAGTGTGGTAGGTCATAATGTCCTCTTGTGCCAGATCATAAAGAATCCTAATACAAAAATCCTCATTGGCATATTCACATAATGTCACTTACACACTCTCACACCAGTTCACACAAAGTCACAATTTATTCACAAACACACAAATTTAACACACACCAATTTACATACACAACATAATAACACCCACCATTATCTTTCAGCATTTCTGTACTAGCTGTGCGGAAGTAGAAAGGGATCAGTCTATGGAGGCAGGATACCAAGTCACCCAAGCAAACCGTGCCTGCAACAAGGATTGGTTCATGCTCAAGCGCTGGACTTACAGCAGCTGGTTGGAAGCGCAGAGGCATAGGGACCCCAGCAGGACCAGCCAGCACACAGGCCCAAGACAGAGTGGCCAACAATGATTTTTTTCAGTTTTCCGGCCCTGGTTTCACCCCCCCTCCCGCCCCCGATGGTGAGACTTGATAAAGGCTCAGAGAGGAGCCGAAATGTTGTCTCCAGTTTCTTGTTCCAAATAAAAAGACTGCGTTTTAGAAGAAACCTCAGGTGTGCCTGGTATTTATTTTCTTCCATTTGATGTCTCCTTTTCTGGAGCACCCTGCAGGAAGTATTCCCCCTTTTTTAGTGTGTGCATTATACTCTTGTTTTTTTTTTTTGCAAACCCTTTCTGATGGTGTCACAAGGTGTGGACGGCATCCCCAGCACTCCCTAGTGATGCCACTGGATGCCATCTTTTAACTGGTAAAATATACTAAATTGTTCTAAATACCAGTCAGTACCAAGAGTGATTCTGCCATACCATAAACAACTCAAAGTTTCTACCCTGTGTGGCTTAAAAAAATAACACATTATGTCATTCAAAGTTATATTTTGTCTAATTACATATTACCAAAATGAATTCTGGGTTAGTAAGGGGAACAGTTGTAACTAAAACCCTGAGATCATGGGGGAGAAGGAAATGTGTGGCCCGGTTGATGTTATATCCTATCCTGTACTAAAAGTAAGCAATCTTCAACACTCCAGATGCTGTGGACTACATCTCCCTTAATGCTCTTACAACCATAATGCTGGTAAAACGTCAGGGAAGAGTTGTCCACAAAATTTGGAGTGCCGAAACTTGCCTTCTCATGTCCTACACCATCTTTTTCTCATATAGCAAAACACATAATAAGAGTACATAACTGAGAAGTTTGTTTCTCGTGCTAGACCACTGGGGACACCACAAGACTGCCTTCTCCTTTGAAGGTAAGTAACAGGCGGTTGGTAGCCAGGGGCAGCAAACAAAATATATTTACAAGCCCCAACAGTAAAATGATCACCTTTGTGGGTACATTACAAAAGCAACACTTGAAAAACTATTATAGCTAGTTTTTCATTTAAACCAATTTTCACTCTGAAATAATTTACAGAATTGAAGCTCAGTTGTTGAATTTTTAATATGACTCATTCACACTCCTTCCCAAGAGTGTTAGTTTATGGAGGTGTTTATAGAGGTGTTCAACAGGTTGCTAAGGTCTTCTATATTATGCCTACTAAAAGTTATTATTTAACAGCGCATTAACCCTTTCAGATTATATATATATATATATATATATATATATATATATATATATATATATATATATACATATAACACTACTGCTGTATACCTTGGAATTTCTAACTGCCTGTCTTACCTTAAAGGGTCTCTCTAAAAAACAACACATTTGCTGTAAGCTATAAATAAGCCTACCCCCTGGATCTGATCAGAAAAACCTTTCGCGTTTTGGTTTCACTTTTTCGGTTTTGGATCAGTCACAGTTGTACATGTAGTGTACTAGAACAATTTGAGTGTGTGGTTGTGTGTTCAGACTAGACTCTAAGTGGGCTGCACTGTCAGTATACCAGATATTAGCTAATAAAGCAGTTCTGCTTATCCTGTATGATGAGTGGACATGCACCTGGTGATTATCTACTTACCCCATATACTCCAGCTGGGCAAGAGTATATGGGACAAGATCAGACCCTACAGCAGGGTTGTCAAACATGCGGCCCCCCAGATGTTGCTGAACTACAACTCCCATGATTCTTTCAATGAAACAGATAGCCAGGGAATCATGGGAGTTGTAGTTCAGCAACATCTGGGGGGCCGCATGTTTGACAACCCTGCCCTACAGACTCGAATGAAGGACTTCTAATAGGTGGAACTTCTATCTGGTCTGCCAGCTAAAACACTGCAAATTAAAAAAACTAAATTGTATTCATTAATTTATTACATTACAAATTAGGGGATACAGGGTAAATTGAATAAAAACAATAAATATGGGGGGGGGGGGGATTAAGGGTTAATTCCAGGCTATTTTGTTTCATTAAGCTATAATTTAATATGCAAGCAATTTGTCCAGATAAAGGAGGCGTATCTCTTTAACTTTGAAGATGACTTAACATGAAAGAACAAACATGATGTACAATTGTTTAAAATGTCAGCAACATCGTACAAGATCTAATTTTATGTAAAGAGCCCAGTGACGCACATACAAATATGTACACAAACGATTTAAAATTCATGTGTTACAACTTTGTAAGAATATGTGTTATTTAACATGAAGCATATAATGAGATGATCTGCACAGAGACAAAATAAAATAATATTATAGGCCAAACAGTACACTTTAGGTGTTCTGAGAATATCAAAATCTATTTAGATTTGAAAACACAGTCAGTGACCAGAAACTATACAGATAACAATAATGGCTGCTTCCTGATGACTATTAAATGCCACTTTATTGGGCAAAAAAATAGGCATGCATCATGACTTTTAACCCCTTAAGGACCAAACATCTGGAATAAAAGGGAATCATGACATGTCACACATGTCATGTGTCCTTAAGGGGTTAAACATATAGTGGAGAGATAACACAGTTGTGGCTTACATCAGAAGATGACAAAAGCTTGTAAATAATGTAATAATACTTTGCTCATTTTCAGGTGTGACTTTAATACATTTGGTGTATTAACCCCTCCGAGTACACATGCATCTAATTGCGTAAAGTACATTAAATTATTAGCAGCACAGGACTTTCTAAGATGAAGACTTGACAGCAACCCAGAATCTCATTAGTCTGTAAGGTGCCATTCTGACTGCCTATTGCTCTAGCCAAGTGCACTGAGCTGTGATGTGACCAGATGCAAAGCCCATTCAACAGGAGCCTGTACAGTCAATAGGTAATTCAGCACAACAAAACATATTGGGAACATTGCAAAGACTACCTATAAAACAAGTGAACTTAGAGAGATAGATATTAGAGCTGCATTCAATTGCAATCTATTTCTAAATATACCCTTATACATTTTTGCACTAGACATGAGTACCACTGTGTCACATTAAATACTTTCTGTACTTTCCATTTCTGTATAGAACTAATTATGCAGAATCTCTAAATAAAATACTTTGTAATACTTAGTGCAAATTCATTTTTTGAAAACAAAGTCCCCTCACTGGGGGCCTGTGGTGATATTCTGAAGTACCTAAACACCATACTGATGCTATGATCACTTGCTTTAAATAAAGGGGGAAATACATTTTACGCAGCAAGGCAAACTCTAATTCACATCCAGAACTGCTTTACAAATCCAAACACAATGATCCTGTTGTTTGGCATGGGGTTATCAGTGCTAATCTGCTCTAATGAATTATTGATTGACTCTTTAACTGTAAATAGGAGGAGAGTATCAGTATATTGATGTCTGTAAATAGGTTACCTGGTTTATACAGGCTTAAACGTGGTTGATAATGACAACATTGTTTATATACATTTCTGTACACTGTGGGTTTCTTTTTCCATGTTACCTTAGAAATCAGGAAGCCATCATGTAAGGATTTATTAATATAAAGAAACTGCTAACTTGTAATGCTCCCATGCCTTTAATACCTTAAAGTAAGATGTAACTCAAACTCCCTGCAGGTCCCCAGTCCTCTAGAGGGTTCACATGGAAAAATATGTAAAGAGATCACCTCACTGCAGCATAAAATCCACTTACCGTCATAATTAACGATAATAATTGCTAGCATGTAATCCTTCCCCAACATCTTCCCAGAGGTAGCAACGTAATGACAACCAGCAAGGGGGGGTATTAGTCAGAGACCACTGGTCCTGACCTCCACGAACCATTCAAAGAATAGCAAATGGAGATGCAGGGATGGACGATGGCAGTCACGTAGATTGTTTCTGATTTAAATTAACCAGCCTAAAGAACAGAGAAGTCAGCTCCCATTTGTGTAGATGTGTTGCAGCCATCCACAGGAATCTGGACAGGAGGGAAGCAGGGATGTAAAGGGAAGGCAGCAGACAGAGCAGGAATAGGAGGCAAGATTGTAAGGGCTGAGGGTGGGAGCTGGAATGTAGGAGGAGCTGTCCAATTGCTGATGAATGGTCCTTGGTCCTGCTTGTAGCTCAGTGTAACAGATACAGTTATACAGAGAGTTCTGTCTAACAGGGTATATGATGCAAGATGGGTGGGTTACACCAGATGGACTAAATTCGTGTACCTTTCCCTCTTAGAACTGTCAGATCCTTACTTTTTACATGATTCTCCTGCCGCTAAGATTCTATAGATAATGCCTGAAGGGCTAATATCTCTTTTCTTTATTTTTATTGATTAGGAGAGGTACAGACATGATTGTTGAGCCATAAGGACAGGAACAAGCCATTTTAAGCATTTAAAAATAAGCATTGAGTCATGACATATGAGAAATCTGCACAATTTTTTGTAAGAGAATTATGTTCAGGTGAAATATGTCAGTCGATGAGTAATAATACTGTACAATGTGTATGCAGGCTGTGCAAACTGACAGGTTGGGTAGTACCATGGTAACACACTTAAAAAATAGGTAAATTACACCAGGTTAAACCTGTTGGGCTATCTCATTATGGAGTCAGAGATACCTACTAACATGGTTGCATAACTTGAGATATCTCCCATGGGGTGTGATCGGCAGGACTAGCCTTTATTTGGTCATGAATGTGTGGCAGCAAAACTGCAACATGAGAGCATCTAATATCCAAGTCCATTAAAAGATTTTAGCATTACTAAAGAATAAATCACTGGATCGTTCCTCAAAACAGCATAATATGCATACATTCATATATATATCAACCAATTTTTCTAGAGTGGAGATCATACCACTTCACGCTATCACACAAGAGACGTTTAGAGGCTCTATTTCCTGTGAGTGCAATTCCATTTTCTACTTGCAAATTTATACTATCCAAACATACTACACTATGTAGTCTTCATTTCTGTTTGTATTACATACTCCTGGGACTACCAATTCTGACCAAGAGATATACTGCACATCCTTCAGTGGGAATTGTACAATTTAAGCACAGCGGTGCGCAGTTGGCTTGTGAGGTAGTTCAGAGAACGGCGCCATTATTATTATTATATTATTTATATAGCGCCGTAGCGCTGTACAATGGGAGCGTGGCCCTAGTTAGGTCCTGGAAGAATTGTACGTTCTCAAACACCTGGGGTGTTTTGCCACGAATTGCAAACATTATGTGGTTTTTATCCTGAGAGGTGGCGCAGCGAAGGATGACGTCCCTGGTGGCTGTGTTAGGCAAGTTAGGTAAGAATGGGAGTCGATGCAGCCCATCAAGGGTGAATTTTCTGGCAGCCATTGGTGGCAAGATGGTAGCAAAGAGTCTCCTCACATAGTGTGTCAGCTGAGATGTCGGAGGGTACCCCACGTATTTTGATGTTGTTGCATGGTCTTCAAAGGCTGACATTTGCAGGGAAAGCTCTTGTTGGGTGGTCTGCAGTTGTTGTACTACATCTTTCACATGTGTCATTTCAGTTTGAATTTCCATGATGTTCTCCTCTGTCACCCGGTCGGTTACGTTTTGCAAGTCCATTTTAAGTGATCCCACATCTGTGGCCAGCATTTTCTTGATGTCTTGCACCCAATTTTGCAGGTCTTGTTTAGTAGCAAAAGCGTTGTTGTCTGGTGCAGCATGGGCTGGTAGCGGCGCGCTTTCTGTGTCTGGCTCCAATAGTATTTGTGTGTGGACTCTGTGGAGAACCTGTTAAAAAAAATTAAACAAATTGTGCCATTAAATATTTTGACCACAGATATTTGTTTTCAAAGATTTTTTTTTTATAAACTGGCATGCCCAAGGAAGATTAATCAACTCTTGTTCCTCTCTGTATAATGGCACCTGTTTTAGTTGCACTATGTTTGTAAATTTCTCTTTCTGCTTTTATAATTTAAGACCGGAATAGCTGCAAAGAAATTATTTCCATTTATAAATTGAGAGGTTTCTGATTGGATGTATTTTCTTAGATAGGAAGGAAACTGGCAGTAGCACAGGCAGACCCACTAAACAGTGGGGTGCAAATTAAAATCATGCCACAATGCAAGTAGTAGATTCACATCATTAAATAATCATACCTTAAAATGTAGTAGCTGTCTAAACAGTGCACCTCAGGTAGTTCCAGCAGAATTAATCATTACTAGGTAATAGAGTTTGTGAGCTGAAGTCCATATCTCTGAAGGTAAGACCCCTGATTGTAAGTATAAAACCAGTCTTAATTAAAAATGACATTAAAAAGTACTGTACAACATACCTAGGAGAAGGTGGGAAGTGAACTGGAAGCATTGGATGCTTTACAGAGTTTTATCAGCAGGCCAACAGTTACAGAGAGATCAGGATTCCAGCCCATATTGTGAATTGTCTGTTACCAAATTGTACAGCTAAAGGGTACTGTAAAGGTAGTATCTTTTTTATTCTCCTTTTTAGTTTTTAATGATATTTTAAATAATACATTAGAAAATAGGTGGGTCGTTCATACCCAATAATTTTGCATTCATATGTTAAATTTCATGATATTTCCTGTATTTATTGTCTGTAATCTGTACACATCTATTTTACAAACTGTAGATAAAAAAAGCAATCCTCCATAAATAATGGGAAAATATATACCCCTTAAGGAGACATAAAATGTGTAACTATTAATGCACTGTGGGTCTTCTACCCAATTAGATGTCATAAACTTTCCAGGATTTACTAGACATACTTTGAGTTAATTACAATCATTAATTGAACTACAAAGTCATTATATTCAGTGACACAACCTCATTGGCCAGCTTAATAAAATAAGTATTTAGTGTAAGAATGCCCTTTCTCCATTCACTACATCATAATATTGAATGGATTTTTTTTATTTGTTACATAAGGACATGACAACATTTAGAACTAACACACATTTTTGCATAAACCACAATCAACCGCTAATACACTGTTTTACCAGGCTTTATAAAAACTCAAAGTGAATTATAAGCCCATTACCTTTATAAAGCCAGCAGATAGGTTTGGGTCATTGGTTGTGATGAAGTCTGTTGATTAGGATAAAACTGCAACATGAGAGCATCTAATATCCAAGTCCATTAAAAGATTTTAGCATTACTAAAGAATAAATCACTGGATCGTTCCTCAAAACAGCATAATATGCATACATTCATATATATATCTGCCACCAATTTTTCTAGAGTGGAGATCATACCACTTTACGCTATCACACAAGAGACGTTTAGAGGCTCTATTTCATGTGAGTGCAATTCCATTTTCTACTTGCAAATTTATACTATCCAAACATACTACACTATGTAGTCTTCATTTCTGTTTGTATTACATACTCCTGGGACTACCAATTCGGACCAAGAGATATACTGCACATCCTTCAGTGGGGATTGTACAATTTAAGCACACAAGAGTAGAGCTAACTGGTAGCTCTAAGAGTTGTAAGTGTATCTCTTTCTCCATATTCCATTTCTCAGGAAGTGCTACACCGTATACTTCTCCATGGTCCTACTTTCTTATCGTTCCGTATGCCATCTGAGAAAATTTCAAGGCACTACTCCCATTTTCTACTGCATAAAACATAATTGGTTTGAGCAACAAAACAATCACAGTAGCTTTGCAGATCCATCAGGAAATAAAGGGTGCATTGTTCCTTTAATATTTTAGAGTATGAAATAAATATTAGTGTGTGCATTATTCACTGTGTTTCAGTTTAGGATGTTAGTGATGTGTGTGTTATTTTCACATTACAAGGTCTTCATATGAAAGCTTTTTATTTATCCTACGTAGGAGAAATTCAATATCTATTTTTCTGCAGAGGTTATTCATCAAAACACCACCTACAGCACATGCATAGCTCCTATTTACATGAGCTGTCTTAGTCATTTAACACTTCTCATGTCAGCCAGTAATGAGTGGAGTTAGTCATGCAGCTTCGTTACATCTCTCCAAGCATACTGTGCAGAGACCGCCTGCTTCATACTGAATGGGTCAATATATATATAGAATAAATAAGGCTTGGCTGCACTCACGGGTCTTGTAAATGGGTGATTCCCTTTATTGAATATTCACAGTTCTCGGTAAGTTAAGATTGGAATTTTAGTCCCTAACAGGGACTTTCACCAGGATCACCTGAATGCAAGGAGTTTACCCATTATATATATATACACAAATACATGCAGATCCTTTGGAAAAAACTGTGGTATTTCTGCTATTATGAAACTATGTCCATAATGCAGTCCACACCCCAATATTATGGCAGGGTTCCCAAACTCCAGTTCACAAGAAACATTGCGTTTTCTTTTTTTTTCCAGAAGGATGTAATACATTGCTTCCCAGAAGCTTTTCTCAGGTAGAACTGTTACCCTCGTGCAGTGGCTCCCAACCAGTCCTTATGGCCCAGCAACAGGCCAGGATTTATGTATTACTGTTTTCTATTCCCATGGAGATATTGAAAAAACCTAGACTGTTCCTGAGCCATGAGGATTGGTTTGCCAGATCTCTCTGCCAGCTAATGCTGGGCCCCCTAACAGATAAACTGAAAGCTCCAGGCCTAAACCATTGCCTGGTGGGTTCCTGTCTGAGCCCATGCCCTAGGCTGCCACCTATGCTGCCTTATGGTTAATCTGACTCTGGTGAACTGAAAACAAATAGTACATTTGCAGTGGTAACAAGGTACAAATTAGAATTGTGCATGGTAAAAATTTCAGTTTGCCCAAATTTGTTGAGATATCAGTTAAGTTTTCCAAAAAGCGTGTTTGGTAAGAGTAGTTCAGCTACCAGGTAAAGTGTACAGGCAAGTGCTGAAGCAGACACAATACTTCTGGACCACTAAATGACTCCATTAATCACAAGATGTTTATTCTGATTTGGAGGTTTTTTTTTTCTTATCCTTTAAACCTGTGTACAGCACTACTTTATGGTGTAAGATACAGCAGCCTTACCATGGCTTTTATGAGGAGGGGCATAGTCCTCAAAGAACTAGAATGTGGAAAAAGAGGTTGAAGTGATATTGATGATAATTGATTGATCACTCCTGAGCAAACCTGATATTACTAATTGTTGATTGGTGTGCAAACCTGATATTAATTGTTAGTTAGTAACACTAATTGATATTGAAATTGGTGTTAGCCTCACAACATGTCCAGGCAAGTCACAAAACACAGGCATAAGCCATAAGATGACACAGCATGAGTTGACAGTGTCAGGCTAGGTCGAGGACCTGGAATATGCCCAAAGAGAACATAAGATAGTAGAGTGGTAAAAGATAGATAAGAAATAAGCTAACCGCTCAGACATGACATGACGTCTTGGGTGGTCCTGAACAGCCTGGCCAGCTGCAAGTCCCATCTAACGCTCGTGACAGGTCTATGTTGGGCTGCACTGATAAGAGAATCTCCCCACCCTTGTAAAAGTTATAAAAGACAAGGAAACTTGGCACTTGGATGGGAGCTACCAACCTGTTTTGCGGACGAGTGGTGCAGGTTTTTGCTGTTTTCCCAGCGCAGAGGGTCCCTCCAGCTTAACTGCCAGAGTTCCCCCAGTAGTGTGCAGCGGAGTGACAACGAACTTCTCTTATGGTGATGTATTTTAGGCTGATATGAATATACTTAAGCTGTTTGATCATTTAAGCTTGAATGCATGCACAATTATTAATCATTAGATGCATCTTAAAGGACCACTCTAGGCACCCAGACCACTTCAGCTTAATGAAGTGGTCTGGGTGCCAGGTCCTTCTAGGGTTAACCCATTTTTTTAATAAACATAGCAGTTTCAGAGAAACTGCTATGTTTATGAATGGGTTAAGCCTTCCCCCTAATCCTCTAGTGGCTGTCTCATTGACAGCCACTAGAGGCGCTTGCGTGCTTCTCACTGTGATTTTTACAGTGAGAGCACGCAAGCGTCCATAGGAAAGCATTGTAAATGCTTTCCTATGCGACGGGCTGAATGCGCGCGCAGCTCTTGCCGCGCGTGCGCATTCAGCCCAGGAGGAGGAATGGAGGAGGAGAGAAGGAGGAGAGCTCTCCGCCCAGCGCTGGAAAAAGGTAAGTTTTTACCCCTTTCCCCTTCCAGAGCCGGGCGGGAGGGGGTCCCTGAGGGTGGGGGCACCCTCAGGGCACTATAGTGCCAGGAAAACGAGTATGTTTTCCTGGCACTATAGTGGTCCTTTAAGTTAAGACAAATTTGAATACCTGTGTATTCAATAAAGTGTGATGTGAATTCTTATGTCCAACTCTGTATCTGTGGGATTTAATTTGCCTATTTATCACCCTACTTATCCCGAACAGGGCAGTGTGCCCGTCAGTATCGCTATAAACCTTATTAGGTGATTGTTATTCATTTTTGGGTACTGATGCTTAATGAATTTAATGATTAGGCACAACAGAGGACCATTTAGGTCACACATACAGTGCCTTGCAAAAGTATTCTCCCCCTTGGCATTTTTCGTGTTTTGTTGCCTCACAACCTGGAATTAACATGGATTGCTTGAGGATTTCCATCATTTAATTTACAGAACATGCCCACAACTTTGAAGATGTTTTTAGTTTGTTTTTTTATTGTGAAGCAAACAACAAATAGGACAAAATAAAAGAAAAAGTCAATGTGCATAACTATTCACCCCCTAAAGTCAATACTTTGTAGAGCCACCTTTTGCGGCAATCACAGCTCCAAGTCGCTTTGGATAAGTCTCTATGAGCTATCCCTGTATTTAGCACCATCCA